ACTTATCAGATGGTAGTTGTGTAATCACATACGATTTCCCGAAATTACTCCGCAAAACGACCCCACGATAAGTTCTGCTTATCTGTGAGCTTATTAATATTAGCCTAATAGGGATATACTATCAGCTGATGATTGGCTTTGGTCCCCGCTGAGTCAGATTCATGTTTAAGAAACGAAGACTAGTCTGACATTCCCTTCTTTTATCTTTGTCATCCTCGTACTTTGGTTTATCAACAATGGAGAATCCTACTAGGGACACCGAAAGGCGATCAGTTGTCCGTAGACAGGTGACGCTAGTTAAAAGAAGAGGCCGCGGCAGATTACCGAAAAGCCAAACAATCACCGAACAACCAAAATTCCAACCCGGAACACTACAATTCATCAACTCTGCTCATCCAGACGAGATCACCAATGCAAATAGTATCAGATTGATAAGATCTCACGCTGCAAAGCTTTCTCGTGCTCTCCAGAAGAAAAAACAGCAAGATGAAGCTCCTCTCGCGGGAGACAACCCTGAAAATGTTCAAGCTAAGACAGAGTTGAGATCTGTGGTTCACCCAGCAAGCAATAAGCAATACCGAAAGATCATGCCTAAAACAAAAGTACATGAACAGACTGGAAATCACCCACCAAGTCCGATACAGTTGATCGGCGGTGCTCGCAGTGCCGCCTACACAGGATTTGCAAGACCACTTTCAGATGATGAGCACTATCTTTTTGACTTCTGTACGTCATCCTCCTTTCAACAAACTGAATCAACTAACATGTTGTATCACAGATCTAAATTATGTTATTTCTTACGGATATACTGCATGCTATGCCCAAGACGACGAGCAAAACTTTATTCGCTTGATGAGACATATTTGGGTACCAAACGCAATGTCCAAAGTCAGCCTGATGAACGCTGTCTTTCACGTGGCGTGCCGGAACTATGTCACCGTCACAAATAACAGCCTATCCAGCAAGTTTGGGGTAAAAAAGCTTCAATATCGACTAATGTGCATCAAAATGGCTAAAGACGCCATCGAGTCGGAGACTGTCGCTACTGACACAACTATCGCATTGGCTATGCTTATGGCCTCTGAAGCAGTGAGCATCCCTTTCCACTTTTCGTTTTTACTTTTCATCTTTAGAAAAAGACTAACTTGATCATCGCAGTTCCTTGAAGGAGATATGAATGCATACTGGAGCCACGGCGCCGGCGTTATGAAAATGGTGCGTGCGCGAGGAGGCGTTGATATGCTGGGAATGTCAGGATTCTTGACTAGAACTGTCTCGGAATCCATCTATCTCACGCAGACCAATATGATAGCCGGGCCAAATGTCTTGGATCCAAAGATAGTTGTCTCCTGAGGTACAATCTGTAGAATAGCCATCGGATTTCAAAATCCTGTACGAATCTTGGATCGTATTATAAAATTCTGCGTGCAAGTCAGTGGCACGTGTTATATCTCAGCCCATTGAACGAGTTTCCCAAGTATGCGAATATACGGTAAGATAAATATGAATAACTACACATCAGATAGGCTCTACGTTCTCTGTGCTGATATAAGCTCTCAGCCACAAGTTTCAACTGCAAATAACACATCTCTGGAGATAGGCTCAATGATGGCGGTCGGCTTGAGGGATGAGAGACTGGAAAGATTGTAAGAAGGGAACCTTTGGGACTGTTCGGAACTCGATATAGGTTTATACATAGGTTAAGGAAACAGTCTGAGAGTCAGGCGTCATATTTGGTAAGAGTTCACGAAAAGGTTAAAGGGTGTTACTTTAAATTTTCATTTAGTTTGCTTACACGGGAAATATGTCCTCTTTCATTTACGGGGACTTCTACTTGAATTCAATGAGATGCTCTCAAACCCAGAGGTTGATGAACAAAAGCCTTTTTGTCCTGATTTCAAAAGCTCTCTTTGAAATATGACCCGGCGGTGCAAAAGTCGAAAATCAAAAATGGACTCTCGGCGGTTGGTTCTATTATAATAGAGCTCATGACCTGGGCGAGGTTGATCAAATAAAATAGGTGAAAATGATGATTGTTACCAGGTGACTTCTACGGGAACTGGCTTTACGGATATTCAGTGCATAGGCTGATATCACCTATCCAGTATCAAGCAGTACGCTCGCCTAAGTATGCTTATTCTTCAGTCAAGGGCCACAACAGATTTTGCCTGATCTGATACTATGGTCCCGCTTGTGTGATTAAAAGTTTCATTAGATTTATCAACCAGCGTAGGTTGCTTAGTTAGCCACCCCCCGGCAAAGGACCAAAGGGTAAATATGTATCTTATCGGGATCCAATATTATTATTATTCACCGTGGGAAAATGGAGCCTCGCGTGCCTTTTGTAACTGAGGTCTGTGCTTGAAAGCTGGTGTTTATCCTATAACTTTGCAACTGGTAGGTTTGTGTTTTTGTTTGCCATCTTGCCATAATAAATCAATGAAGGCCTTCAAAATCAGGTGAGATTTTATCTCTATGTTGCATGTCGTTGGCATAGGTAAAATCAGCAGTGTAATGTTACTGTGGTGTGAAAATGCCATTTAGTATCCTTATGAACAGCCTGCTTCCGTATTTTCACAACATAACTCGTCGATGTGAAGCCTGCAAGAGGTTAATAGGTATGCTTAGCCGAATACCCCCAAGGTTCAGCAAGACTAACATGAGCGCATCAGGCACTAGGAACATGTAGAGAAATTTGCGGTCCGGGCTAACCTGCACGCGCCCATTCTAACTGCAATTGTGTGATCTGAGGCGATACACTCGTTTCAGGCAACTCATGTTAGACCATAAGCCTCGATCCTTGAATTCACTTCAGTGCAACCGCCTGATTGCTGTTGCAAAACACTTTGATTCGTACTAGGATGAACGAACTATCATTTATATCAGCCCGGGGTGGCGAGTGGGAATACAGATGCAAGCTCAAGACAATCCATTGCTACTCATACTTGTCTCATGTTGCTGGGTCACACTTGAGTTTGAATCAATCGAAAAAAGCATCATAGCATGTATTCGAACAACGAAGATAGGGCAACTGGGAAAAAATACAGTGTCTATTAGGGCTTAAATTGAATTAGACCTATGGGTTGATGTTTTCAAAAGCCATCTATAAAGATGTCCACCAAACGAAGAATGTACATCTCCTTCAATGGGCTCATCATCTTCAGAGTCCAAGTTATCAATCCACTCGTGTTCACGAATTGCCCTCTCAGCAACTGGGAACCCATCATCTCCACGAAGCCAAGTGAATATGTTTCTAGTCACCATTTCAGAATTCTCATCCTCTGAATCATACTCCTCATAATCCACCTCCACTTCCGGGACAGAACCCTGGAGCACTCCATTCTTCAACCTCGTTGCCATGCTCGGAACTTTAGGACCCTGCTGAACCTTTGTGCCATCGCTGCAGTGCCAAGTAAGATGCGAAAACCTGAGACCGTGGTCCCAGCCACAGAGTATATGTTCGTGAACATCAATATTTGTATCTTCTATGGCAGTCGAGCCGAATGGTGGGAAGGGAAACAGCGGCGGAATAGTATAATTGATGTCATGGCAAAGATAAAGTAGTCTGCATTCATCGGCACGTGAGATTGACCGGGTGTCTGTAGCAAACTGAGGGACTGGCATCTGAATAACGGACATCAGTGTCCCTGTCCACGCAGCTGCTCCAAGATCGATATTCCACCAACCAGCGCGGCCTTCTCGAAGTGCTTTATCGTTACCACCTGTGACAAACGAACCAAGCCATAAGAAGCCGATATCAGGGTCTCTTCTGATCAGAATTCCCAAAAGGGAATGGGGGTTTTTGATCGTATCAAGAACCGCAAATGAACCCTGCAGCCACATTCCACATAGGTTGCTTGACACTTCAACCTCACAGAATACACTGGTGAGAAGTGCTCTGGTTCCCTTGGCATTGCAGCTGAGTGTCAATAATCTATCGAATTGAACATTGTTTATGCCCGTGAGAGTCGAAGATGTTTGGTGTTGGCGTCTATCCTCTTCCATTTTCTCACCCCAATGGGTGTCTGGGACCGGTAGGGCGATCGACCGGCCGTCATATTTGGAGGCAGGGATCATCAAGGCTCCTGCCAAGGATGCAAGATAGACATCGTCGTCGATACGATGGACGCTAGAATATTCGGCAAGATAGCTATATGCTTCTGATAAGGTAGTCAATACATCTGCGGATGCTGAGGTTGTAGACTTTCCCTCTACCGAGATAAGGATGGGAATTTCTGACTCAAGAGATATGGACCATGGTGAATGAAGACATCTGCCCTCCTTGTTGGACATTGTCGCACTCCAACCTCTTTCGACAGATAGTAAGGCAGTCCACCACTGAGCAGCGCCTTCGCTGACTGCTCCTAGATTTATGGTCACTGGAGATTTGCTGTTGTGTTCGGGCGGTGATCTGCTGGTGTTCCCATCTGACAAAGAAATGTCACGTCTGGATAGATGGGCGCCGGGGACGAGCTCAGCCCATCTGGCGGAAAGAATATAGGCCCAAGCTTGCAACAGAACAGGTATGTGGCGACTATGCTTTCCAAAGATATCAGGCAGAGTTGCCCTTGAATGTCGACCATCTGCCGTTAGAATCATCTTGGTTGGCTTATCCCAGGCAACGTGGAAAGTTGATTCATCTTTGAAGGGCGGCAAATGATCAACTTCATTGGCTGCAAGCCATGTCGTAGTGGCCTTAACCAAGGCGACGTTTCGGAAGTTTTTGTCGGCCTTGACGTTTTGGGGAAGCCGGGGATGATCAGGGAAGGCGGTTCGCAAGCGCTGAAGGCAATCTCTCCACAAGTCCGTCTCCTCAGAGGATGTTCTATGGAGTGCATACCACGTCTGCTATCCTTGGGCGAACGCGCTCGTCGCGCGTTGCTCGCTAGGGCGGACCGCGTCCTGCATAGGTGAAGATCGCTGGGTACAGCAGATGTCAAATGAATATGCAAGAGGATTTCTTTGTTCAGCTATGCTGAGTTCCTGAACAAGTGTTTGGCATTTCGTCGTTATGTAAGCGAGCACAGACCGCCAGGGGCTTGTAACAGCCACGAGTTTTCGAGATGCTTATGGCTTATCAACGTTTCTCATCTGAACCTCCTGACCGAAACGATGTGAGTTGCTCTTGTAAGGCCACATAATCAGCGTGCTTTTTGTAGATCAGAAATAGGGGTTAGTATGGCTGACGTGTATGCTGTATTTTATAGTCGAGATAGATAATGTTGCTGTTAACCTTGCCTGATCGCCCAATGCATAGACCAATAGTAATGCATCGTGCATGCATGAACGAGCCACAAATTATACATATTTTTTTACAGCTGTTATATCAATATATTTATAATTAATTACTTGTAATGATTATCGATATTGATAAATATTTGAACCAAGTCTATGCGCAGTTCAAGCTTAGTGACTAGCTTACTCTTCTGGCTGTCGACCGAGTCGCCGTCTTCAATCAGGTTGAAGGATCTCAAAGCGTCAGCAACTTTCTCTTTCATTCCGAAAAAGATATTGCCCAGCCTGACTGGATGAACATATGGTCTGTGGCTGCTCTCAAACAAATTGTTGACCCCGGTGAGAGGCTTTGGAAGGGACCTATGCTTGTTATTCATGGTGACAAAGATCCAGCGTTGCACTGCAACGCATCATTGGCTACTTCAAAGGCTACTTACGAAAGGTATCTTGGTGATCTGGAGGTCTTGGGTATTCCTGGAGTTGGCCACTTTCCTGGTATGTATGCAACCCGGTCGATTTGGATGGATTGGATTGAGGATCGGTTCGATGCGCTGTATAAGGACAGAATTGATATGCTGTAGCACTTCCGAGTCAATATATTATCGTTATGCAAGTTATGAAGGGAATTGTAAGCCTAAATACCAAGCCTTTTGTAGCTAATATGGGGTTGGTCATGCACACTCGCTGACAATGTTCAATCCTCCCCACATGCAAAAGTATCTTCAGGCTGGTCCCCTTCCCCATCTCTAGAGCCATCGAGGTCAAAGTGGGGACAGTCTTTGGGATCTTCATAAAAGGTGCTACCAAATTCTTTGGTCTTGTCACAGCGCTCTTCCATCGTCAATGCATTGCCGATTCTTCCAAGGCCTTCCCTTCGGGACCGTGAAAATGTTGTGTATGACCCAGACACCACCATCAGCTGGGACGCCCACGAATGGGCGGGGTGAGCCAAGATCTTTCTCCGCTGGCTGTCTCGTCAAGAATTTCCTGCCAAGGATTACTATACCATTTGGCTCCCCAGAGTCGCATTTTGTTGCAGTATGCTTCTTCCTTTTCAGGATCATCTGACATGTTGGCCCTTTGGAATCGGTCAAGACCCAGAAATTCAAGTTCGACAAGTGAACAGAGATGTATGAGATAGCCCCCTTTTGCAGGCCAACCGGTAGCTGTGCCGCCAATATAGTCACCGAAGCCAATTCATGGAAAGACTGTCACTCCAAAGGATCCATACACGTTGCCACCCAATATTCTGGACATTTTGGGTATTTTAGCCACTGATGTAGAGTTGGTAGGACTTTGATTGGCCAGATGATAGTTGCAGGATAAACAGAAAAGAAGACCAATGCAGATGAAAGCGAGTGAAGACATTAGATTGCATGTTGAAAAGAATTGTTGCCAAGGTTCGGTAATTTAACTGCAAAGATAATTGCTGATGCCTGAAGAGGGATGACTGAGGTTATGTGACTGCCTGGGGAATAGTTGATATTCCGTTCCTATGGCCGACACACAACAAGTATCTCAGTTACCTTCGTCCCAAGAAGCTACTCTACCCTACCAAGCACAATTGACCAGCATGACTCATATAAATAATGTCTTGCATGTGGTGGGATCAATGATACCAGCCTCCTGCAACATCAACCCTTCGATCAGCTAGGTAGAAGGTGCTGGCTTCAGTTATACGACCAACAGATTCTTATTTCCTTGCCACTTCGGCATACATTTCATCATAAAATGGCTCGTCCATAAATACAGACCATGGCTAAGAATAGACTGTTTCAAAATCTTCTGTTGGTTGGGAATCATCAGAGAGCTCAATAAATCAGATTCATGCATTAGGCTCTCGTTCCCAAGCAGTCTTGGTTCATGTCTGTGCTTAATGCGAAAGCCAACATCATATGATTCATTCCATTTATGAGTCCTAGTGGGGGTATCAATTTGTTTCAGCGACCGCACTTCTTCTGCTCATCTTTCTCCGTAGGTACTTCGTACGAAGGCTATCACTCCGAATATTAGGCAGACATCTTTCGAGTCGGTAATGATTGTCCGAGCGGGCCTTGAGATTTTTGCAAACTCTACTGGTAATCTGATTTCAAGTTGAGCGCAGTTCTTCCATGCCCTCACCGGACTACCTAAGTTCGGGACAACCGGGACCAGAGTTGTGTTATTTCTTTCATTCTGACATGACTGAGTGCGGTGGGTAAGGATATGCTGGGGTCTTAGTGTGTTAGTTGTGATTTTAATGTAAACCTATCTTGTTTCAAGATTCTTGCAGTCGGAGTGAATTATATCTATCAAGTTGTATAACTTTGTATCGCTATTCATAGTCAACGATGTCCTGATTATTAACTCCACGGTATCCATCTCAGACCAGACCATCCCAACAGGGCAAGAAGAACTAATGACTATGCAATATCTCGTCGTAGAAATACAGCATCGACTGGAGGGTCTTCGTCGTCCAAGTAGTGGCCAGGCTGCATGTGAATTAGCCTATATCCTCGCCGTTCATACCAATCCTGGTTAGTTGACTAAAACGTGTCAGCTCTGTAGATTGCAAACATTCACAACGACCCAGACTTACACCCAGCTCCTTTCCGTTTTTTTCTCGGTACAGCTTCTTCTGCATCTCCTTCTCAGCGGTATCAAGTGCGAGGGTTTTGGCACATAGCGGTTCCTCAGTCGCCATTGACTCGACGATGTCCATGGCTGCTCGCCCGATGCCTTTGCTTCGAAGTGCTTTTGAGACGTAGAAGGTCTTGATCCAGTAGACGCCTTCTTTGGGAAGGTCGAGGACAAAGTTTCCTGTTTTCTCGTTTCTGTCATCAAGTGAGATGTGGCCCACGGGATAGAACTTTGTATGGGTCGGTTTTCGGGGTTTGGCTCTGAGGCTTTCAGCTGTGTCTACCAATGGTGCCTTGTCCTGAGAGATGTCAGACATAGCAATTATAAAGGAGTATCAGAGGCTTACTTCAGGGTACGCATCTAAGTGTAGTTGAAGTGTTTCGCGAGTTTCGGGGTCATCTGGTCGCAGTGTCTAGTCAAAGTTAAAACTTGGCTGTTGTGAATTGACCTTAGGAAACCCACGATCCAAAAGATGGACTTCTGACCCGAGACTTGTCTCTCTTTCCATCCTTCAACTAAATGCTTATCCCAACCGCATTGCACTCGTTGCTCATAAATTCGGTTGACATGCTCTGGAGAGTTGGGGTCCCAAGGGACTAAGACGAGCTGATCTTGACGAGTTGCTGACGGCATAGCTGATTCGCTTTTGTATCTAAAACTCAATCTTCTATCGCATCAAGAATATGATAATTAGAGTTGGAGAAAAAGAATCTCGAAAATATAGAGATAATTATTGAGGCTTCAATAAATTATCTGTCATACACGGTAATGAGTCATTGGAGGGCGCGGAATACGAGTTTGTCCGAGACAATTGGTGCGATATCGTCGCTAAATGACGCGCCCCCGGAGTTGGACATTTCGCCCCGGACTGCCTTTCTTGTTCAAGGCAACGAGACTTATCGGAACTTTTGTGTACTACAAGCTCAGTTGAGTTCTTCCAGGTCTCACAACCAACAGCTTGCCATTGTATAAGTTTCAATAGCCGAGTCAGTTCAGTGGTTTCACTTACTGAACCTGAGTGTCTGTCTTCCCCACGCTCATGTGATTAGCTTCTTGACAAATTTTTAAACTTCCATATCATATCTGTGCTCGGAAGATTATAGTAAATTCAATCACTGCATAATTCCTTCATTGATTCAAATGAATGATTTTCACGTAACCATATAGTACTGACCGCCAGCTCCGGTTACCATCACGGCAATCGGGGGGATACACAGCTTTCCAGGGTAAGACGTTGAATGGCATGCATCTCTTGAGATTACCTGCGCCCGAGGTCGGTTTGCTGAGACCCTGGGATGGAATTCTTCGACAGTTGGAATTGTCCAGACGGGTATCTGTATGTTCCTTCGTGGATCATTGCGTGTCAATCTCCGCAGGCATATGAGGGCGCCTAATCAGATATAAGGTCTGTAGAAAGCTCGTCTTTGCATTTCGTGAATTATGCGCCCTTAGGGTCTCTCACCGTTCACCAGTAAAAGTAACAGGATTTTGAATTGCCGCATACTACTCCGATTCCCAAATTTCTCTTGAGCTATGAAATGTTTTGGAAAGCTCTTAAGTTTCTGTACCAATCTCATGAATCATTCTATATCCTCTCTATTAAATCCACTATGGTATACCCGGCACGCGCCCCCAAACCCATTTGCTATAGAATACAAATTATAGAGAAATTGCGCTTCCTAGTGTATAATCATCAACTGTCTGTCAAGCTCATGATCTCTTTCCATATTTGCTTTGCAGATTGCACTCCTTCCAAGTCGAACTAGCTCAACAACAAAGTCATTGATGAGCTTCATATGTGAGACTTCGCAAGTAGTCAGTCGCCGCACCGGAAGATTGTTGATTAGATCAGCGGCTGCTTTGAGAAGCTCAAGGTCTTGCTCAGCTCGTTCGTGAAGCGGATACATTAGGATGTTGAAGAAGAGAGTGATCATGGCTGCTGTGGGATAGAAGACAATAACCCTACATAAGAGTTAGTTACTGAGCTGGATTCGATTTGCGCGAACTGTTCTTACCAGAATGCTTCACCAGCGACTCCACACATCGCTGCCCGCAAGTACACAAGTGTCGAACGACTAGCTTCCAGCGCAAGAGCATTACTCGACTCAACCCCGGGGACCCATTCCGGCTGGTCGTTAGGGTTTCCGGGATCAGGCTCCATGCACCTGCCACTTGCTCGATGGATTGCAATCATCAGATGATGATAGTCCAAATGCAGAGTGATATGTCTCATACTGCGTGGAAGATGCATCCCTTGAAGAGCGACTTGGGACTCGTCGGTGATTGAGAGTGCAGGACGGAATGAAGGGGGTACGGATTGCCTCCAGGCTTCGAGCTCTTCGTCAAGCTCTCGGATGTCGCAAAGTAGCTGGGCATGAGACTTCTTAGCAGCCTGAGCCGAATATAGCAGACGACTAGTTTTGTCTTTGAGTTGGCTCAGGCGAGGGTCGCCCGGAAGGTGAGGCATGAGACTCTCTTCTTCGAAGGAAACTTGGGGGAGGCTTTCGTTGAGTTTGGGAAGGTATTCATAGCATTCGAAATAGGTCTCTGGAAGGGTGAGATCGCAATAGTCGTCGGACATGAGTGGCGGTTGACCTGTCCGTAGAGCAACATCTTTATCGAAGATATAGCATAGCCAGAATAGCATGCGAATTTGGCGCCGTTCCCTCTCTGAGCGTGTAACTTGCGAGCTTCGTGGTTTACATGATATGTACGTATGGCCGCCAAGGGTGAAAACCATGCGGCACGCAATGGCATGAAACATGGCACCGGATCGAAGGCGTCCAGAGAATATCTCATGCATGTTCTGGTCGTTTGTCAGTTCTGTTGGGGTCCAATCTTCAGATCAAGTCCTTACCAGCATGAAGACTATTTGAAGGTTGTTGATACTAGCTATTTCCAGGACGTCTGTGAGTAGATAACGTGCCTTTGTGGCACATAAGTCTGTGTCGATACTTGGTGTATCTGCAAATGTGTCTTGGAAGAGTACTATCATTGAAAGAAAAGCCAAAACACCAACCTTGGCACTGAGATGCTCCAAAGAAGGGACATCACCTGTGTAAGGCTGATACGCTAGTTCGATGGTATCCTTGAACAGAACCCGTTCCACGACGGGAAACACCAAACTGAAAGAGGAATGGATAAACGTGTCGAAAGCTTTCTCAGTGATACTTCTTTCAGGAAGTTCGTACAAGTCACGTTGGTCATGGTAAACGCGAGGTGCAGGCGATTGGGAAGGGTTGGAGTGGTCTGTGGCGCCCGGATTGAGAATAACTTCGTGGCCAGTCTTTGAAATTATCCATTGTCTTCCCTCTTCTGAAAGCAGAGGTAGTCCGTTATGCTGACTGATGTGGCCAAAGTGACAGCCACCATAATGGAGTTGTCCATAGGAAACAGAGCTGGTGAAGCCGCCAGCAGGAGATGGGGCTTGAGATATAAACGGAGATCCTTGGGATACGCTTGCAGATCTCGAATCTGTAGCTCTCAAAAAGGAAGAAGATGGCCGGTTGAATGACAACTTTTGAGGGGTATCGTTGGTTGAGTCTCCAGCACCAGGGTCTGAGGTCTTGTGGGGATCAGAGACTAGTGAACTTGGAGTCAATGGTTTGGCTGCACTGCTTTCGGAGTTCTTCTGATTAGAAAGTGTCTGAGAAAGAGCATCCTCAATGCGCTTGAGGCGCTCCGCCAGACTTTGCTCTGATGTTTGACGAGATCTAATAGACCAGTTAAAATGAAATACTCCACGGGGCTGAACGCCACGGTCAGAACCTACCTAGCCTTGGCTGTTTTTTTCCGCCCTCTCACCCGGTTAAATGTACAATCCAAGCCATGGTGCTCACACCAGTTGCAGGGTGTATCTGGGCTTGTTGAATCGCATTGGATCTAGAAGAATGAGGGCAACTTGTTAGCCAACTGGGTAAGAATGTGATACACCTCCACAAAGACAAGCATGCAGGATGGACAACATCAATCTCGCCAAGAGATGTATGGTACCGATCGATAAAGGGGAAGCGGAGGTCCCGGGAATGAACGGAGATGGGGCATCGTATACGTACCTTTCTCTTATGACAGGCATCACAGGCCCGTTTCTGCATCATGATTACTTATTCAGCTCTGACATGCAAGTAAGACTAGATTGGAGGAAGAAGGAGGTGGGTTAATTCGCCGAAATCGAGTCTGCCAACTTGGACGTTGGGCTCAGTTCCACAACTGAACCAAACGGCCGGAAGGTTGGAAAAAATAACAGTGAACGACGATATGGTGTAAGCCTCCGGCTGAAAAGCCAAGATATGAGGCAAAACGAGGCTAATGTGTCAAACTCGCGGTCTTTTCGCGAGAAAGTCCACGACCGAAAGATTCGTAAACGCGGAACATGAGGCTCTCCGAGGATGGGTCGGAGGATGGTGTCGAAGAAGAATGCGACACGACCGCTGAATAAGCGGAGGAAGCTAAAAGCAGAAACGAGGACGAGGCCAGCGCTAAACGATAACAGACAAAGTGTCAAACCTTGAACCGGGATCCCACGTGAAGATCACGGCCTAGACATGGACTAGACATGGATTGATGTGCCGAAGAGGTTGACTAAGCGGAAGATTCAAGAGTTCCTCTTCTTCCGGCCCATTTTTACCAACGGCAGATACATTTAATCTACAGATAGATCCAGCTTCAATTACCCCTTGAAAATGATTCCTGTTGATCCTGTAGGGGGACAAGTCGGAGAGACGGCTATAAAATGGCCGACTCGGATGCGGCTGATTATCTTTTGCGTCATTGTTTTTACTTATTACTCAGTCGGAGGTCGTCGCAGTTTTTTACAGTCCGTCTCATATCTGAACGAATGCGAACCTGGCCGTGCGGGCCTGTTCCCTCGTAGTCGGTGTTTTCGCACTCATTCATTTGTCCGCTATTGCGGCAATAAACTTTGTATTCCTAAGCTGACACTCGTAATTGAAATCAATATTGTCATTTCTGCTGCGACGCTTGCTAAAAATCAAGTTTCACAAGCATGTGAATCCGGCGTTGAATGCGGCTTGAATAGCCCCTGTAAGAAGCCATTTCCCTTCTGTACGAACTGGGGCTAGCGATTGAGTCACCACGGTTTCCAATGCACGCTGCAGCGCCAACATCACCAAGGTCAAATTGACTAAGCGGTAAATTTGGCCGGGCGTAGAACATTCTTATCAGGGTCCGTAGATCAACAACTTCCGTCAGATCCAAGTGGATCGAAGAACCCGCTCGTACTAGAATGCTTGTCAAGAAAGGAACTAGATCTAATTATTTCATTGGTCAACCTGTCTGTTCTACGCTGCTGTCGGACGCCGAAAAAGCCCGTCAGTCTGTAAAGCCGACGCCTGTCAAAAACGTGTTGTTGTTTATAAGAAGCATGCAACCACTTTCCCTGTAATAACATGCAGCAACAGACACCATTTTATTGTTCTTTAGAGTTTTGTCCGATATCAAAGACAAAAAGGCTCGGCGCGTAAGTCGGCGGTAAAGGCTACCCTCTTTTAGCCAGGACGAACATACAGTCCACCACCAAAATGGACTCCGACAGTAACGACTCGCAAACGGTCTATGAACCGACACCCATGAAGGAGATCTCCCATGATGACACCGAATGGTCTATGAAGTCTGAAGTGGTGGAGTACAAAGAGAGAGACAAGGCATCTGGCTTCCCTGACAGAGAGCTTGGTGTTACTTGGACCAACCTCACTGTCGATGTCATCGCTGCTGATGCCGCTATCCACGAGAACGTCTTGTCACAGTACAACATCCCCAAGCTCATCAAAGAGTCTCGTCAAAAGTCACCTCTCAAGACCATCCTCGACAACAGCCATGGCTGCGTCAAACCTGGTGAGATGCTCCTTGTTCTCGGCCGTCCTGGCTCAGGCTGCACAACACTTCTCAACATGATCGCCAACAAACGACGAGGATACGCCAACATCAAGGGTGATGTCCACTATGGATCCATGACAGCCGAGGAGGCCAAGAACTATCGAGGCCAGATCGTCATGAACACTGAGGAGGAGGTCTTCTACCCGGCTTTGACTGTTGGTCAGACCATGGACTTCGCATCTCGACTCAAAGTGCCTTTCCACCTCCCCAATGGTGTCAACTCGCACGAGGAGCTGAGAGTCCAGTCAAGGGACTTCTTGCTCAAGTCTATGGGTATCGAGCATACTATCGACACCAAGGTTGGTGACGCATTCATTCGTGGAGTCTCTGGAGGAGAGCGAAAACGAGTATCCATCATTGAAACCCTGGCAACTCAAGGCTCAGTCTTTTGCTGGGACAACTCAACCCGTGGCCTCGATGCCAGCACGTAAGTAATAATACTGAAACCCTTTCAGGTACTTATCTAATTTGATCCAGTGCTCTCGAGTACACCAAAGCCATCCGCGCCATGACCGATGTGATGGGTCTCGCTTCCATCGTCACCCTCTACCAAGCAGGTAACGGTATCTATGATCTCTTCGATAAGGTCCTCGTGCTCGACGAAGGCAAGGAAGTCTACTATGGTCCTCTTAAGGAAGCCAAACCCTTCATGGAGAGCATGGGCTTCATCTGCCAGCACGGCGCCAACGTCGCAGACTACCTCACCGGTGTCACTGTCCCAACCGAGCGCCAGATCCACCCCGATCACCAGAACCGTTTCCCACGAACCGCAGACGCTCTTCGAGCAGAGTACGAGAAGTCGCCCATCTACGAGCGCATGCGGTCTGAGTACGACTATCCTACTTCTACGATCGCCGACGAAAGGACCAAGCAGTTCAAGCTGGGTGTTCGTCAGCAGAAGGACAAGAAGCTTCCCGATAGCAGCCCCATGACGGTTGGGTTCATCTCACAGGCCAAAGCTTGTGTGAAACGTCAGTACCAGATTGTCCTCGGAGACAAGGCTACCTTCTTCATCAAGCAGGTTTCCATGATCGTACAGGCTTTGATCGCTGGCTCTCTGTTCTACAATGCCTCCTCTGACTCGAGTGGCCTTTTCATCAAATCGGGCGCAGTCTTCATTGCTCTTCTCTGCAACTCCCTGGTCTCAATGTCTGAGGTCACTGACTCTTTTACTGGACGTCCTGTTCTTCTCAAGCACAAATCCTTTGCCATGTACCATCCTGCTGCCTTCTGCATTGCTCAGATTGCTGCTGATATACCTGTAATTCTGTTGCAGGTCAGCACCTTTTCAGTTGTGGAGTATTTCATGGTTGGCCTTACCGCCTCGGCGGGACACTTCTTCACCTTCTGGATTCTTCTCGTTTCAATCACAATCGTAAGTGTATTACTTCTACTTACTGATTCTTCAGTACTAACACACGTCATTAGTGCATTACTGCCCTTTTCAGAGCTGTCGGTGCGGCTTTCAGCACCTTTGATGCTGCTTCCAAGGTTTCCGGTCTTCTCATTAGCGCCACAATCATGTACTCTGGCTATCTCATTAGCAAGCCTCTGATGCATGATTGGTTTGTCTGGCTTTTCTGGATCAATCCCTTGGCATACGGCTTCGACGCTCTTCTGTCCAACGAGTTCCATGACAAGATCATTCCTTGTGTTGGGCACAGCCTCGTACCAAGTGGTCCTGGATTCACCAATGGTGATCACCAGGCTTGTTCTGGAGTAGGTGGAGCCAAGCCTGGAGTAAACTTCGTTACTGGCGATGACTACCTGGCATCTCTCTCGTACGGCCATGACCATCTTTGGAGAAACTTCGGTATCATTTGGGCTTGGTGGGCTCTCTTCGTTGCTATCACCATCTTCTTCACCACCAAGTGGCACGCCTCCTCCGAGGACGGACCCAGTCTGGTCATTCCTCGCGAGAACGCCCACATCACCGCTGCTCTCCGCCAGTCTGATGAGGAGGGACAGACAAAGGGTGAGAAGAAGATCATGGGCAGCAGTGATGGCGGTGTTGTATCTGGGGATGACTCCGATACCAGTGGTGAAGTGAGGGGTCTGGTGCGTAACACCTCTGTGTTTACCTGGAAGAACCTCAGCTATACTGTCAAGACTCCTCAAGGCGATCGCACTCTTCTCGACAATGTTCAAGGCTGGGTTAAGCCAGGTATGTTAGGTGCTCTTATGGGTTCTTCAGGTGCTGGAAAGACTACACTGCTCGATGTTCTGGCTCAACGCAAGACTGAGGGTACCATTCGGGGCTCTATCATGGTTGATGGTCGGCCCCTTCCGGTTTCTTTCCAGCGGTCTGCGGGCTACTGTGAACAGCTTGATGTTCACGAACCCTATGCTACCGTCCGCGAGGCTCTAGAGTTCTCTGCCCTTCTCCGACAAAGCCGTGACACTCCTCGCGAGGAGAAGCTCAAGTATGTTGACACTATCATTGAACTTCTGGAACTTCATGATCTTGCGGATACCCTGATCGGCCAAGTCGGCGCCGGTCTGAGCGTCGAACAGCGCAAGCGTGTTACTATTGGCGTTGAACTGGTCTCGAAGCCTAGCATCTTGATCTTCCTTGATGAGCCTACTTCTGGTCTTGACGGACAATCTGCGTATAACACCGTTCGGTTCTTGCGGAAGCTGGCTGCCCACGGCCAAGCCATCCTTGTCACCATTCACCAGCCCTCTGCCCAGCTCTTCTCTCAGTTTGATACCCTTCTTCTCCTCGCTAAGGGCGGTAAGACAGTGTACTTTGGCGACATTGGCGAGCACGGCAACACGGTTACTGGCTACTTTGGTCGCTACGGGGCTCCTTGCCCAGAACATGTCAACCCTGCCGAGCACATGATTGACGTCGTCTCTGGACATCTCTCGCAAGGCAAGGATTGGAACCAGGTCTGGCTGTCTTCCCCTGAGCACGATGCTGTTGAAAAAGAGCTCGATAGTATCATCAGCGAAGCTGCTTCCAAGCCTCCAGCCACTACCGACGACGGTTACGAATTCGCTACCTCTCTGTGGGAGCAGACCAAGCTCGTTACCCATCGCATGAACATCGCCTTGTATCGCAACACAGACTACATCAACAACAAGTTCGCTCTCCACTTGTCCTCTGCCCTCTTCAACGGCTTCACTTTTTGGCAGATTGGATCGTCTGTCGCTGAACTTCAACTGAAGTTGTTTACAATCTTCAACTTCATTTTTGTCGCTCCCGGTGTCATGGCTCAGCTTCAACCGTTGTTCATCCATCGTCGAGACATCTTCGAGACCCGTGAGAAGAAGTCCAAGATGTACTCTTGGATCGCTTTCGTGACTGGCCTGATTGTCTCGGAAGTCCCTTACCTGATCGTTTGTGCTGTCATCTACTATGTCGCCTGGTATTACACCGTCGGTTTCCCTAGCGATTCTTCCCGTGCTGGCGGCACCTTCTTTGTCATGCTTATGTATGAGTTCATTTACACTGGCATTGGTCAGTTCATTGCTGCCTACGCGCCAAACGAGGTGTTCGCATCACTGGTCAATCCGCTTGTCCTCACTATCTTGGTGTCTTTCTGTGGTGTCCTTGTACCCTACTCCAGCATCCAGACCTTCTGGAGGTACTGGCTCTACTACATCAACCCTTTCAACTACCTGATGGGTAGCATGCTGACGTTTGACATGTGGGGGGCCGATGTCAAATGCAAGGAAAGCGAGTTTGCTAGGTTCAGCCCTCCCAACGGTACCACGTGTGGTGAATACCTCAAGGAGTGGCTTACGCACGTGCCTAGCAAGCTTATCAACCCTGATGCGACCGAAGAGTGTAAGGTGTGTACTTACAGCAAGGCTGATGACTACCTCCGCACTCTCAACCTCAAGTCGTACTCATACGCCTGGAGGGACGCCGGCATCACAGCTGCGTTCGTCTTCAGTTCGTATGCTCTTGTTTACATCCTCATGAAGCTTCGAACCAAGACTTCCAAGAAGGCGGAGTAGGAGCAATATCGCAACCTGATCCATTGAGGTCTTAAAAATTAGTTCTTTCTTTTTCGGATATCATCATAGACTGTATAGCAACCTTAGACTGCGCAATTAGACTTTCAACATAGCACCCATCATAATAATAAGATCGTTCTTACCATAGATTCAAGTAGCCTACAGTGATGTCTACTTTCATAATAGAGATCTTTACTACACTCTACACTATGATGGTCCTCGCAGCCGTCTCTTTTCCTTTCATGGGAACCATGGTCTGACCTTTGAGGTATTCCATGATTGAACTGGATGTGTGGATACGATTTTGGGGTCTAATAGAAATCCGTTGGATGAGCGGGAATCTCAAATTGGCTTATGAGAATCATGTGAGCCGGCAAATATCGATGTTGGGGGTGTTGAGAAATTGGTTTGACTAAGTAGGGCCACTGATTGGTGAAGGCGAGCTGACTACCCTGAAGCTAGAACGCGCAGTGTTGGGTAAAACAGAACGCGAGATTTGGACACGTATTTATTCTCTCGGTTGTTCTTTATATATCATATATAGTAGAGATATAGTGATGGTAACGTATTCTTTATGTAATTACCAACATCTCATGGCCTGTGATGTCCAAAGTTCTTTGAATAGCAGGTACAAGATAAGATACCGCCAACACCACGAATCATTGAGTCAGATTTGGTTTCAAAGATCTTGACCATAGGTAATGAGTCAGGCAACAAAAGAAAAATATAGTTGACCATTCCCCTTGTAGTTTTCAATGATAAACATGTACGCTTTATCCTCTTATTGCTCACCTACTCCGTCTGCCATCTTCTCATTTTGAGTGTTTCGACGGCAGTGATTCTCGTGTCGAGAAAGAGACCCACTACGATGACTAAAGGGCATGCAGCGGGCATCGGGCCAAGTCTCGGGCTAACTCTTTCGGAACTTCGGGCATCTCACATTCAGGCTGAGGTCTAAGACAAGAGACAACTGCAGATCAATTATGACCAGCATTTAAAGGAACCAACACTAAACAATTCAATCAAACTTACACACTCTACCGTAATCACTCCTCAGTACCATAAATCATGACAATTTCCAACGGTATCAACGGTCACACTAATGGCCATACAAACGGCAGCGCGACTACTTCTTCAAAGAACGGCACCTTATTTGCCAAGCCTCACAAAGCCTCGATATCATCCATCGTTTCAGAGCTTTTCGAGGACAATATCACAGCAAAGATCCTTCACGCTGCAGAGTCAGGCCTTGTAAACAACGTAAGCGCAACTCAGGTCGATGTGAATACCTCACTTACACTGATAGAACCCCCCATTGGCGTACCCCGAATATGTCCCCCAGACTGGGTCAGATGCTGGGAAATACATACTTCGTGAGAAACTCTTTTGGACATGTGGCTTCTTCCCAGGTTCCATATACTCGCTGATCGAGCGTCTCATCAAGTATCCGCAAGCTTCAGCTGGAGATGCCAACAAGCAACAACTGCTCAAGCAACTGCTCGCTGTCGGACGAGCTTGGTCTGACCCGCTTCATGAGTATGCCCAGAGAACAGATACCCACGATATGTCTTTCATGATCCAGCCATCTATGAGAGTTCGTTGGGAGACTTTACACGAGTCGACAGCCCTTGAGTCTATCATCACTGCTGCGCGCTCACTCTACTCAAGATACAACGCCAATGTCGGCGCTATCCGATCATGGGATGTCCTGTCGCAAAATGGTGTCGATATTTCTAGCATGACAGAGGACTTTCTGGTGATTATCGACTCTATGTGCAATCTCGACCTGCTGTACTACGCGGCTGCACAGACTGGCCAGACTGAAATGGCTGAAGCAGCAACAGCCCACGCCAAGGCTCTGATCAAGGCCTTACTACGACAGGAGACAGACGAGTCTGTGGGAAGAACCATGTACAGCACGTTTCACGTTGTCAACTTCGACCCCAAAAACGGATCCGTCAAGGAGAAGAGAACTGGTCAAGGCTACGCGGCCAACTCAACTTGGGCTCGCGGACAAGCTTGGGGTATCCTAGGATACTCACAGACGTACAACTGGACCAAAGATCCTGAGTTTCTGGATGCAGCTATTGGTTTAGCTGAATATTTCATCTTTAGACTACTCAAGTCCCCAGACTGTGTCGAAATCCCCGTCTCCGGAGAGGATCGCACGAAGGGTCGATACGTTCCTCTTTGGGACTTTGACGCCCCGATTGATACTTCCGCACCACTGAGAGACTCTTCAGCGGGCATTATTGCTGCAAACGGTATGCTTGTTCTCTCCCAAGCTCTAGCTGGAAGTGGATCACCCGACTTGAGTGAGAGATATCGATCGATGGCGATTCGAATTGTAAAAGATACGCTCGACTTTTCCCTTGCACAGGAAAAGTCGAAAGTGACGTTGAGATCAGATGGAAAATTTGAGGTTCAGGACCTGAAGCCTGAAGCTCATTTCGAGGCTATTCTGAAGAACGCCACGGCAAATCACAATGCCAAAGACTACAAGAGATACTGGGATCATGGACTGGTTTATGCTGATTACTACTTGATTGAGTTTGGGAACAGGTTGTTGAAGATGGGATTGGTATAGATACATCTTCCAGAATTTCATATGCAGAATTAGTGAAGCACTTTGTCTACTTGTCATAATATAGTTTTGATATTCCCTCATTATCCTAATGTCCAGTTGTTCATAGAGAACGGTCCCCCTTGATCGTCAATCGTCTGAGCCGTAAACATCATGTCATCAAAGCTGATGACTCGATCCAACTGCATGAAATCCTGATCCATAAGAACGGTTGAGATGGCTGACAGCTCATCTGGTGAACTGTGCTCCACTCCGGGATTGGTAGGAGATATCTGGGGAAGGAAGCTGAGCTGGCTGCCTGGGGCTTGAGGAGGGCCAGGATTAAGAATAGATCTCTGGGACTCGCTATCAAATGAGTTCTGCAACGTGCCGGATGCTACTCCGGCCTGAGCTTGGCTGCTGTGCTGATTGTCGGTTTGTCCTTGGCGGAGGTAATTGGGTACCTGTGTAACAAAACCATCGGTCGAGTATCCAACGACATCTGGAGAATAATCCGGATTCTCCGCGCATTTCTTGTGAAGCGCGCGTAGTTGAGCGCTGTACTTCCCAGCCAAGGAAGAATTAGATTTCGATCGGGACAAAGGGCCTGCCCATCTCTTAGAGAAGTCATCGAGGCTTTCGACTAAAACCCAGAACTCAGGGGCTAGATCGGTTTTGTAAAATTTCCAGTGTACTACGGAATCATCAGTCGAAGATTATAAGGATTGGTGGGGTATCTTACCAAGCAATGCGCGAGCACTGACGAAAACACAGAAAGCGAACTGGCTATTAACAGGGCTATTTTCTAGTGTGTACTTGAGATACTTGCGTGTAATTGTTGCCGTCTCCGCTGCAGCGATCTGACATGTCTCTGCGCTATGGGCACTAGGCATCCGTACGATACTGGTCCATTGAGGTGATGGATATGCGATCTGCTGATGCAGTAAGATCATAGAGGTATTGTGGGTGATGTGAGCCAACGTCAGGTTCGGATCCATGTTGATAATGGTTGGTCTTCGAGAAATGTTGGAGTCTTTCCATTTCTGGGGTAGGAACATCTTCCAGCTGCCATAAATGTCAGTCAATGTCTCTAACTAAAAAACCGAGGACGTACTGGACAAGGCGTAGGTCCAGCTCCTTAAACCTGGTAAGCCAATTCCCGACCTCTTGACGATCCCTGAAGTTGATTCTCTGTTGGAGAAAGTACGTGGTAACCCGGCTCAAAGACTCAGTCGCCTCGATGCAATAAGCGAACGCCCCGACAGTTGTCATATCCACGGTGTCGTTGCCCTTGGGTGCTGTCGTGCTCGTCGATGGTGTCTCGGGCGGTGCTTCCGCGACTTGATCAGGACTTGGGTAGTGCGCTGGAAGGAATACGATCGAGTTCCCCATCTTTGCGGCTGAGCGATCCCAGATACCGAAGTAGGGAGTGAGGACTGTTTCTTCTTTATGCCAAAGACCTCCGTCGGCTGGCAATCGTCTGCGCACATCGTCGGATGTCAAACTGGTGTTCCATCTGAGCTTGTAAGTATGAACCGACTACTTTTCGGCTTGTGTCATCTTACCCAGTCATCACAGAGCAAAGCCTAAGCGGTCAGCTGGTGCCTGTAATCATCAGATGGTGTAAACCTACCTGTCGAGGTTGAAGATGCTCCAGAATACTCTCCTCCGCTCCTCCTCTTGAGTCCAGTTCTGCGATGGTGATAAAGAGGTTAAGGGCTTTAGCAAAGGTCCCTGTTGTCGGTCGTCTGTTTCAACACTGAGCTGGAGATACTCAACAGTCCTTGTAAGTGAGCCTATGATAGGCCAAGCTCTGGACATGTCTCCATTACCCATCTGGAAAAGCCCCTAGTTAGACGTGCTTCCCAATAAACACAGCGTACTTACATCTGTAAAGGCTATGATGCTCAGGGCTTGTAGGTTCTCAACCGACATGCCGTCCATAGCTGATAAAAGCACTATGCTTCTGGATCTCGAGGTCCATGTCTCTAGCTCTTTTTCAGATATCTTTCCATTCTCAGTATCGACAAAGCGAATGGCAGCGACTACTATTGCATGCAGTAGCACAGTGAGGCAGGGCAGTTGCTCATGACTGTAGAAGCGACCCCTGAACCGTGTCTCATGAAGTATTGGTATCCATGGCTGAACCAGGATGAAGTACGCATTGATGACTTCTTCTAGGAGCTCGGCAGGGGGCAACTGGCTCGAAGTGCTTCCTAACTCGTTGAGCTGGCTGGCTAGCTCTATGTTCGGGTTGCCGCAGCTGTCCACTCTTCGTCTCTTTCGCGGTTGATGTTGGAGATCGTTCGGGGATGACAGAGCTACAGATCCTGGCGTCGCGTGTTGTGTTTGGGCTGTTGATGAGTGAGCGGGCGGCAATGATAACGAACCCGCCGAGTTGTGAACTAAGCCTCGAAGTTCCTGAATGAGACTTGAGAAGGCTCCAATAATTTGTGAAGACTCAGATGAAGGAGCTGGATTGCCGGGTTGCGCGTTGTCGAATACTGTGTTCTCCAGAGCCTCTGATCTTGGTCAGTTGGGAGTGGAATTATCACCGTTCTACGTACCAACTCGACGGTTCAAGCCTTCTATGACCCCAGTCTTGATCCCCGGTTTGTTCTTTTTCGTGTCGTATACGCAAGGCGAGTCTACACAAGTCAGTTACTATATCTCATCCTTCGACGCCTTGACATACCCAATCTTTGACAATGATTACACATTGGCTTATCTCTGGAACAGCGGAGCTTTCGCCGCCGACATCCTTGACACGAAGGGACTTCGGGGTCTCCAGCGGCAGACCCATTGCCAGCTCCACCTAACTGCACAGTCTGATGGTCCATTTTGCTTGTGATTGTATGGCTACAGAGTTCGCCCGCTGCCCGAGGGATCGCATAGTTTATGTAATAACGAGAGAGTTCGGAGAAGAGGAGGCGCTCGTGTGTCGATCCTTGACCAAAAACAAGCTCTGGATCGTTACCCCATGGGGATGGTGTTGTAAGCGAGCCAATGGTTGGAGGTCACCATCAGCTGATGATAGCTTCGGACGTGAATGGGCCGACGCCCGAGGCTGGAGCTGATCAATTGTCGAGAGCTCGTTTCTATCGTGTCGTGAGTCAAAAGTGCTGTGGGCGGTGATTAAGTTGAAGTTTCTGTAAACTTGGTTATAATTGTTGAGCCTGTTTAATGTCTCAGTTTGTGTTACTCAGAGTCAAGAATTTCTCCTTCTCCAACCTCGCCCGAGTTACACTAAAATGCCGCCGCTGCCAGGGTTCTCCGACAATCCCTTCCAAAGCCGAGATGACTTCATTGAAGCCATAATTGCGTTGATTAATCCTCTAAAACAACATTTCTCACCTGAAAAATCTCGCGTTCGTATTCCAGTTGCGACAGGTGCACATTTCGATGAGTCGGCGGCACAATTAGAAGGCTTTGCAAGGCCGCTATGGGCCATAGCGCCATTGCTTTTCGGATACGACTCTATCGCCAACAAAGACCTGGCAGCACGCGTAGATGAGCTAGTTCAGCCATGGGTCGACGGCTTCATCACAGGAACCGACCCACATAATCCAGAGTATTGGGGGGCCATGAACGATATGGATCAAAGAATGGTGGAAGCAGAGATGCTAGCGTTTGCTCTCATAGCAGCACCGAAGCGTTTCTATGAGCCATTGAACGAGGACCAGAAGAAGAACTTGAAGAACTGGCTGAACTCGATTCGCGGCAAGAAAATGCCTCCGACAAATTGGCGCTGGTTTCGAGTCTTCTGTAACCTTGCTTTAGTAAAGACTTGCGGTGTCCCTTTCTCGCAAGTCAAGGAAGAGATGGATGCAGATCTTGAGCTGCTGGATAGCTTCTACATTGGAGATGGCTGGTCAGCGGATGGCCCTTGGCAGACAGTCGAGCAAGCTAGACAAGAACAGGAGCTGGCTGAGAAGACTGGACGGCGAGATATGGTCGGAACAGGACGACAAGCAGACTACTATTCTGGCAGTTTCGCCATTCAGTTCTCACAGGTACTGTACTCAAAGTTCGCCGCTGATTTGGATGAATCGAGATGCGAGATGTATCAACAACGAGCCAGGGACTTCGGAACTCAGATCTGGAGATACTTCGACTCTCAGGGTAACCAATGTCACAGGCATAAACAGAGTTCACATTAAGCTAACAACAAACAGGATCATCAATTCCTTTCGGTAGGTCCCTCACGTACAGGTTTGCCTGTGGAGGTTTCTTTGGCGCGCTGGCGTTTGCCAAGGTGCCTAACATGCCTAAGCCGCTTGACTCACCAGGAGCAATCAGGGGGTTCCTAGCTCGACATCTGAGGTGGTGGGCACAGAATTCTACTGACATTTTCTCAACTGATGGCACTCTGACAATTGGATGGCTGTATCCGTAAGTTGATCATGGTACTCCGTGGAGGTGTCACTAACGCCGACAGAAACATGTACATGGCCGAAGACTACAACTCTCCCCAGTCCGTATACTGGTGCCTCAAAACGCTTATAGCTGTTGGCTTGAGTGCCGATGACGAATTCTGGAACTCTGAGCCACTTCCGTATCCGCCCTTCGAACCCCCTACACAAGTCGTCCGAGCTCCTCAGCAAATCCTGTGCAACCACCCGCGAGGCAATCACCACTTCATGCTAACTCCCGGACAATTCGTTGCTTGGCCGATGAAAGCCAATCAAGCCAAGTACTGCAAGTTTGCCTATTCTTCAGCCTTCGGGTTCTCCGTTCCAACAGGCCCTCTGATCCAACAGATTGCACCGGACAACCAACTGGCGCTGAGCCGAGACGGCGGAGAGACTTGGGCGGTTAAGTGGAAGTGCGATGAAGTCAAGTTTGGCACCCTGATGACAAAGACGGGTAACCAGAGCGTGGCGAGTGTTTCCATCGCAAGCGTAAGATGGTATCCTTGGGGCGATCGAGTCGTGGCTGTCGATACGATCCTGATCCCACCGACCGAACAATGGCCGGATTGGCATGTAAGAATGCACCGCATACGATTCCAGAAGCCTATCGAGTCACTTCGCGTCGTTGAAGGGGGTTTCGCTATAAATGGCCGTAAGCATGCTGATGGGATGAACTTGCCAACTCTTCCAGTACCCGATGGAGTCGTGCCTGGCAGTTTCGAGGGAAACTTCTCCGATGAACGATCCACAATCGTCTCTTCTAAAGCTGGCTCCAGTGGAATTCTAACCGAAGCTCTTTTCAATAGACAAAGGGTTGATGTGGAAAGCTTCGCGCTGAAGCCGGACTCCAACACGAACATCGTTTGCCAGCGAACATTGATCCCTGTTGCATCCGTAGGCACCATAGGAAAAGTAGAGCCGAGTCAGGAAGTTTGGTTGAAGAGTTCGGTTTTCGCTGTTTCGTCCAATGTTGGCGAGGGACGACAGGGTGATGCGGCGAGTCTCAAGGAGAGATGGTCTCGATGTCCGACCATTGAGGTAGAGAGCTTCGAACAGATCTTACACAATATGTAATACTAGATAACAAGTAATATGACAGTATTCAAATGGACCTCAAGGTTATGCTTTGGATGTTTTCAATATGCTATGAGTTTGTCTTGAGCACCTTATCAGGGCTCGCCATCAAAACATCCTTAGAATATCCTATTTCTCCTCTCCAGTGCTCAGTCTGCAGCGTTGCCCTTGTCAATGTGAGTGAGATAATCCAGTTTATTCCACACGTCCCTCAGTCTTTGATCATATGCATCTTCGCGAAGCTCTGAGCGATCCCATATCCTGTATATCCCTGTTTCCTCGGGAGACTCTTCCGGGTCGATGCGGTAATCGTTCTTCTCGTCAGGCAGAATTGGTAGGGGGCTATGGTCTGGCTCTTCAGCAGTGAGAAAATTGAGTAGCTGTCGCTTTTGCTCGGAGGTCAAGCGACAGATTCTATATGTTACGTTTTCCCTGTCAGGATGAATGTATACAGCATCGTAGTCCACGTCAGATCCTGGTATTGGCTGGCGCCGGTCGAATAAGACGACACCACCAAGAATTCGGGATTCAGCCCAATACCCAACCATGCCTGCTACCCCGCTAGGATATCTGTCGTGACTTAAATACCAATGGTGAAAGAACATCGTAGGTTCAGGCCCATTTGGGCAATGTGCCCACCAGATCTTGTCGGACTTTGGTGGTGCCCATTCAATGACGCCATCGTTCTTGTGAAGGCCCTCATTAAGAATGAAGAGAATCACGGCGATTTGATGGACTGATATCGCGATTATCTCGATGAGACGTATATCGAATGACCGTGACCCTGGAGAAGCAGCCTGGAATGCGAACAGAAGCTAACACACGGCATTTAGTTATTAATATAGACTCAAGACGATACGGGAATCTATGCTCACTCTTGAGTCAAACTTAAGTATATTAGGGTCAAACGTGCTGCGAAACCCTCGTGTGCTGTCCAAAATCCCATCGCAAAGCTTGTCGTGGCAATGATTGATAGGATGATCACGGTGAGGCATTCCGCCTCTTGATTCAAACGCAACCTCGCCCAGAGGTAATCCATCAATGATTTGAGCATATGTTATCTCTGCAATGTCTGTATCAAGAATCCGGGCAATCGCACTCGTTACGGTATCTTGATGGGCCTGATCCAAATTATGTATCGTGAGTTGCCTGAGACCGGCGCCAGTCTGGCTGCCGCTCAAGCCCAAGAAGAGTGACGATCCGTTCGTTGGTTGAAACGACATCTGAGCTGATGAATTAATATTTCTGCAGCTCGACCTCGAGAAAATAAGGAGTTCAGTGTCATGAAAGGAAGCCATTTGTAAGTGGAGTTGGATGGCGCCAGCCCCTGGTACTAAATCTGGATGTTAGGTGACTTAAGCGCCCGGCTTTGCATTTACCCGACGACTAAGTGACTTGATGGGCCACCAAGACCAGGGACTTGTCACTTTGCTTAGCCTTCCATTGGCATCGGAACATTGGGTCAGCATGCAAGATATTCGGCTGGGAAAGGACCGTGGGACCTCTGGATCGTGTTACGGACGTATGGGGTAGTTATAAATGCACGCCGCGTTGGTTTCGGTATCTTCTTCGTCTTCATGCTGATTTTGGCTAAAGTGTCCTGATTCTATGTACTGTTGGCTACTTGAAATAAGCAGGCTGTGTCTAGTTGATTTTCATTTGATATGGGGGTTAAAGTAGGGTTTGGTTTCAGCAGCAAAGTGTCGAGTTGACCCTAGTAGACGCCATTCGTAAAGTCAACCACAATCGCTTTCTCAAGAAGACCACCCACATTAGCTATGAAGGTCTGATGAGCTGGGTCAGTCTTGACGTAGTAGTCACGATCCTCTGCCGACTCAAAGGTTGCAACGAATCCATGGGTTATCCCGTTCTACTGGCTGTCAGCACCAGATTCGCGCAAGGATAGTCTGGTAGCAATACTTGCATGCCCTCAGGCGAGTTATCCTTGCCACCTTGCAATGATAAAATGTATGGCTTGTTGCTTGTAGGATGGATGCATTGATCTTTCAGTTGAAGGAAATCATCGCATGTCTAGCGCAGTCGGTTTGTCAGCCAATTGGCCAATGAGCCTTTGTTTGTGTCATGTACTTTTCTTATATCTTTTTGGTCGACATCGTCTTTGAACTGAAAGAGTACAGTGTGAGTGATCGACATGTTTGCGCTGCCAGCTTTGATATGTGGAAGTAATGTTTGGTATGGTGCGGAGTATTCTGAGAATTATAGATCAAGACGTCACAGATAGGACAACAGTGGGAACCCAAGACGCCATGTTTTCGAAGCTTATTGGTCAAATACATCCTTTACGCTTCACATCACGTGGGGCATTTATGTAAGACCATCTCTGGTACCATCTGTCACTTACTTTTCTACTATGGTTAAAATGAAGCTCAGTTTTGATAAAAGAAAGAGAAATCCCATTGGTTACATTTCCTCAGCTTGATACTCTTCGCTACCAAGGCGTCGATGACTCCATTTCTCTATATGAACAGTAACAGGGACGGGATATGCTCTCAGACCCCGCTCTCATTGAGACTAGGCTCGTCAGCCAGAGACATCACCAATCGAGCCATGTCCTGACGAAGACTCTCATGATTTGAGAGCTGAGGGTTGCTGCACATCCAGGCGGCCTTCGGTGTCACGGGCTCACCATACATCAGCTTGAGACAGAGGACGTCTGTGGGTTTGATGTGCTCGGCAAACTTGGGCATGTCGTCCGCAACCAGTCCCGCGAGTGCATCAAGTTCGAACTCGATCGCAAAGTCGTAAATAGCGACGGCGCGGGTACAGAAGTTGGTTGACTTACAAATGCAACGGCACTGGCCAGTGTGGAGGTTGTAGAACCTGCCATTGCGCAGGAATACAGCGGCGATGTCGATGATGCATGAGCAACGTCCGGAGTCAAGGCTTCGGGTCCTAGAGCGACTGGTTCTGGTGAAGTGTTCCTCAAAGCCTGGGTACTTCAAGACATGTGAAGCGGGTATTTCGATTGCCTCGTTCTTGTTGTTGAAGATCTTGTAACGCCTAGAGCTTGAAAGCAGTCAACTACCAATCATAACATGGTCCCGCCACCAGGTAGGGATCTTGATATGTACTTACGAAACGTTGCTCAGGTCCGCCATACTGCGGGTATAGTCTCCCGGGCCCGTAGCGATGTGCGAATAAGCTATGGGGCTTGCGTGCTCAACCCCCTGTCGAGTTGAACTAGGCTTGGTAATGGCTCCCGCTTTGCCTGGCGGGTGTACTATATCTTGTATAAAGACGATAAAGAGCTGGGTTAACGTTACTCAGAAGGTCTGACGAACTTGAATTTGGCTGCGTGACGCGCTTCCTTGTTGTAAGAGAATCGAGCTTGAGGAGAAGATGGAAAACAAAAGAAAAGTGGGTTCATTCTGAGATTCCAAATATCAAGTCGGGCTCACAGCACTTCATGGTGCGCCATTCTATTAGTGGGGCTTGTCCAGGAAGGGGAAACGAATCCTACCTTTCTGCGTCTGAGAATTACTGATATCAAAGCCCCAGCTCTCGGTTAGTCTTGTCCTCAACTTTGCCCGTCTCTTCGCCGACCCCCACGAATATAACGCAGAGGAAGTGGTGCTGCCATCTTGGACGCCACTATCCGACCAGTACCAGGCATTATGCAGCTAAAAGTCGGATATAGAGAACGGAAAACAGGTCTAGACCATCTACTGCGGAACCATCTGTTACTGGGGTTGACTCAAGTCAGGATGAGTAGGACTCCGCAAGAGTATCTCACTAATTTTGTCTTGAAAGCTTCATATTCTTTTCCTGGTGCCCGACTGTTGTTTATGAGCTGATAGTTCAAATAATGGTTTTGCTGTTCATTTCAAATAGTATAAATCTCGCAGCCCCTGTCGATATCCCAGTAACTTGGCCACTTAACACTCAAACACAACCGACGACCGAATTCCCAAATACCTTAAATATCTGAGATCAGGCACGTTATGGACATATCCCACTTCGGGTCCGAGTTTATTTTGCGCCATGGTCAAAGATAAGGGACCGAGGCCGTTATTACCGTCTAAAGCCAAAGGTGTCATCAACCCCAGAATCACGCAACACCCACCATATAGCACGTCCCGACGTCGGCCAACCAGCCCTACCAGAAAAGAAGACTCGGATAATCGCTACGACTGTTTATCGATTAAATCGGCCCATAGTTTTATTCACTTCGGCCAAGTTGGGTAGCAGCGATAACGACCGTGGACCCCATCTCAATTGACGCGATCGCTAGCAACAATGACTGCATACCCACCATGCGAGACGCGACGTATAAAAAAGAAGTGCAGATCTCGCCATGTATGAGGTCTCTTCTCAGTAACCTTTTTGTGTCTGTCTTGATCCCAAGCCACGCTGCGCCAAGCAACAACGTGTGCCTGCCAAGCAAACGCTATCAGAAATGGCTGAAGCTAAACAGACGACTGCTGTTGCGGTCGATGATCGTCGCTACGATCGAGATACCGATAACTCAGCGACTGACTACGAAGAGAGCGAAAAGAGCGGCAAGTCCTGGAAGAGCTACGTCTGGGATACATGGGAGTTGCCCAAGGAGCAGCGATGGCTTCTTTTCAAGGTTGACGCTTTTGTCTTGACGTTTGCTTCCATTGGGTACTTCCTCAAGAACATTGATCAAACAAACGTCAACAATGCGTTTCTGAGTGGAATGAAGGAGGAGCTCAATATGTATGGCAATGAACTTGTTACTAGTAAGTCGCCCAGCCAGGAGCTTCACCAATCCGACTAACATCCAACAGGCACATCAATCTGGACCGTGGGTTATGTCGTCGGTCAAATTCCTTCCAACTTACTTCTCACTCGTGTATCGCCGCGCTGGGTTATCCCGTCACTGGAAGTGGGTTGGGGCATTGCGACTATCTGCACTTCAGCTGTGCACTCATACAAGGCTTTGTACGCTCTGCGATTCCTCGTTGGTCTCTTCGAGTAAGTGAATACAGTCATATTACAGCCTCCGGGACTCAATTGACTAATATGACTCCAGATCCGGCTTCTATCCTGGTATTCACTATATGCTCGGCTCTTGGTACACACCTCGCGAGATCGGAAAGCGCGCCATGATCTTTTGGCTGGCTGGTAGCATTGGTAACATGTTCAGTGGCTTCCTGCAGGCAGCTGCTTACACAAACTTGAATGGTGTCCATGGTCATGCAGGCTGTAAGTCCTCTCTCCGCCTTCGATAAGTAGCGCTGACCAAGGCACAGGGCGCTGGCTCTTCATCATCGACGGCATCATCACTCTTCCCCTCGCGGTGGCAGGCTACTTCTTCTTCCCTAACCTTCCCCAAGACGGTGTCAAAACTTGGTGGACTACGCAAAGGGAGCATGAGATCTCCGTTGAACGGATGAACGCCATCGGGCGAGCTGGAAAGGAGAAGTGGACAAAGGCGAAGCTCAAATCTATTCTCCTGAGTTGGCACACATACTTCCTCCGTAAGACACCAGCTGCTACGAGCGTTGTTTCTCTTGCTAAACTGTGACATAGCTATGATCTACGTCCTCTGGAACAACGCATACCCTCAGCCCGCCATGGGATATTGGCTCAAGAGCTTCAACGCCGATCCTCCCCCTGTACCCGGCACCTCGTATTCCGTCGCTCAGATCAACAACTTGCCTCTACCATCCACTGCAATCTTTATCGTTATGGCTCTATTCTGGGGCTGGCTTTCCGATGGGCCCATGAAGGGTCTGCGATGGCCTTTCATCTACGCTGGTGCCATAATCGCTGTAAGCTAACTACCACCTCGGCGTATAAAACAAACAAGGACTGACCCCTTCAATAGATGGCCTTCAACATCGCCCTTCTCAAGATGCCTCTTTACGGAAATAACAGAGACCGAACTCTTGTTTACTGGTTTGCCAACATTGGTGTAAGTCTTGTATACCTGGCCTAGCGGAGATAAGCAGAAGTGCTCACAAACCCCTTAGAACGGTGCCGGTCCCCTCATTCTCAGCTGGATCAACGAGATCTGCTCCGCCGATACCGAAAAGCGAGCCTTACTAGTAGCTGCGGCTAATGACTTTGCCTATGTGGTCCAAGCTGTGGCTCCCAACTTCGTCTGGAAGACTACCGATTTCCCTAGGGCTGCAAAGGGTTATACATGGTCCACTGTTCTCAACGCTCTACTGAGTAAGTCGCCCGAGACCCTGATCGATCAACTGGTTTACACAATACTAACTGGCCCATCAGTCGTCTGGACTGCCGTTGTTCAGCTACTTCTGGCCTGGGATAGGAAGCGGCAAGCCAAGGCTCGGGAAGTGATATCAGAAGACTCAGAGGCCAATTCTCAAGAAGAATCACACGATGATGGGAAGACTTCGGAGTACCCTGCGGAAAAGAAGACGGATCTTAACTAGGGCTTTCACTTCAGCAGATTGGATAAAGGAGACAGCTCGTAGCTCCTTGGTGTAAACTGTAAACCATTAGGCTAGCCATTATACCAAACTTCCCGAATCGTTAGATCATCCGAAGACAGTTCTACAACCGACCCGGCGGGTTTAAATCCTCGCAAATTTATTACTCGGGAATTAAATGCTATCGGTGATTTCTCGAACCTTTAAACCGTAGACGCCGGCTTCTCATTTTGCTATTCGAAGTACAAACAGCTGGTCCAAACCCCTCCAACAACGGACAAGTCTCTGGAGCATCCGCAGCCGCATCCCAACCCGTAGCCTCCCAAGGACTTCTTCTTTCCAAACTTGTCTCGTCCGACTAGAACTGGAACACCTCCTGACGCCATCCGATTGGAGAGACTCACGTTCTATCCCTTTAGCGCTTAAAAAAGCACAAACAACATCTTTTTGATTTCTGTCTTCCTCCGAGGACGCGTCCTCTACTTTGGCGGAGTCTTTCACAGTTTATAGAGGTCCGTACTTCTCTTCATACTGCTGGAGCTTGCGCTTCATTTCGCCCATTTCCACAAGGGTGATGTTGGCGAAAGTTCGACTGGCGCTAGTTTCGCTTTTTAAATCGGCGATCTGGACCTCGGTGATGGTCTCCTCGCTCATGGAAACTCGTTGGGTGAAGTACTCGGCCAAAGCAGTCTGGTTGCTCTGAAGCGTCCAGTTGGCTTCTCTAACCATCTCCACGAGGCCGAAGATTGAAAGTCGATCAGCCATCTTGGTGAAGTCTTCAAAGGTGAGTCTAGCGAGTTCGTCCATTTCGTAGTCCAAAGCGAGACCGTGGACCGACAGACAGTGTTGCATCCGGTTGTAGTAGTGCGGTGATCCGTCCCAGTCCTCTGGCTTTCGGCTCGTCCATGTTCCGTTGCGTAGATAGCCGACAAAGGCAGCCGTTTGTGTCTTGTTCAGCCAGTTGAGCTTGACGGCACCCCTGTGGGCGTCGTAGGAGGGCCTGCACTTGGGATACCTCTCCAACAGATCGACCGAGATCCAGTAGATTGAGCTATCACCAAATATGACTTTGACGGTACTACGGGGATAAGGACTAGCGTTTGGTCAGTAAAGATGCTACAAAATAATGTAAACCTGTAGCTTATGCTTCGAATACTTACGACTTAATCAGAAAGTTGCCGAACATCCTGGCATCTTGACTTTCCATCGTCAGGGCTCTTTTGATTTTAATTTCAGTCTTCGAATTTCAATAGTAACTTGAGTGGATCGTCGTCTGGCGAGTGTAAATTCAGTGTGAGGCCATATCGACTCTTGCAGGCATGCACTAACCCTTGAGATGTGGGATTGTTTGAAGGCAGAAGAAATTCTAGAGAGAGCAATGACCAAAGGGACGAAATACGAATGTGGGTCTTCAACAACAGTACAGAGTCATTCTTGACATAGTAGACTAGTAAATCAAGGATGGGTTAGCATTTTAATAACTACTAAACTATTAATGAGTCCAAATATAACAGGAAAGCATTACTGATGCTCCAAAACTTTAACAAAAAGATATATGCTTAGATTAGAGGATTACAGGGTAGTGAATAAATAATTCTTAGTACAAACTGACTTCTTCCCTGACTACTGAGTGAAATTCCCTTATATTTATTGCACGCTTCTTCTAACAGCCTCCAATACTCTTCTCACCTTACCGAGTTCTGGTCCAAACTTCCATAGAGCATGTTTGGCTGTTAACATGTTGAACCCATATCCCTTATTTATATACGATAAGTTTTACAACACCAATAATTATGCTAGTGACCACGAGGCAAACCTTGCTTGTGAGCTAGGATACATACTGTAAGATTCAGGGTAACAGACATCCTCGTTAGTGGAGCCAATAGTAAGTAACCTTTGCTTGTCAGCTGAAATCGGTAGACGCTTTTTTAACGCTCAGGCCATAAGCGCGTCTTATTCCCCACCACTCACCTCTTTTCACTCAGTACCCATCTCACTATTGGCTTCATGTCATATCAATTGGTCTTCTAGCCACAACTACCTCAGTTTCAGCGATGGAATCTCAGCCCGGTGCTACCGAAGCCAATCAACCCAACCGAAAGCGTGTCATCACAGCTTGTCTGACCTGCCGCCATCGGAAAGTCAAGTGTGATCACGCACAGCCAGTTTGTTCACCGTGTAAGAAAGGAAACCGTGTTTGCACTTACACCAGCCCCCAATCAACTTCACAGTCCTCTCGCCTTAGTGGGAACCGAGTGTCAAGAAGCAACCGACAAACTGGTCAGGACGATATTAGGAGTCGCCTCGAACGGTTGGAGCAACTTCTTGAGAGCGCCCTCAGCGGTGGCCCTGCCATCCCACAACATCCGGCTGATACAACTTCCAATCCGGAGCATCTACATCCAAAGCATCAGGGACTGGGTTCATCACAGAACCCTCAGTCGGAAACCTTGTCAACCGATGGTTACGATGGCGCTTTACTCCTCGACGGCCAGGGGGGTCAATCTCGCTGGGTATCATCTCTTCACTACTCTCTCCTGGCTGATGAGGCAAGTCAACTTCCTCAATTGAGCTTCTGTCTCTAATAGGTGACTCCAGATTCGTGATGTCAAGATGCTGCTCGGAGGCCTGTCTAGCGATGCACCGAGAGAAAGCTTGCCGACAATCCGCTCAGGTTCCCCCTTTCCATTTTCAGGACCTTCGACGGATGACCTCAGGATATGGGCACCTACTTCAGCAGATACATGCTTGATTTTACTTGACACCTTTTACTCTCACGTTGATCCGATGACTAGAATAGTTCACAAGCCTACGCTCAAACGACGACTGATCCAGTACATCGACTACACGTACGGCATAAACGCTTCAAGTTCTAACGATAGAGAGTTTCTAGCCACTCACTCCGGCGAAGATATTCATACTTTCGAACCATTGGCGTTGGCTGTCTTCTATTCAGCTATCAATAGTCTTTCGGCTGAAGACGTATTGTTGCAATTTTCTGTAGAAAAGGAGGCACTCCTTTCCCAATTTCAACATGGCGTGCAAATTGGTCTGGGGAGAGAGAACTTCTTGACTACACCAAGCATTGAAGTACTTCAAGCATTTGTACTGCTTCTGGTGAGTTTGCACTACTCCCATTTCAAAGTTGCGTCCTAGCTAACTTGCCCTTAGACCTGTCAGTCGCGGGAAGATGACATGGCAAAAACCTGGGCCCTTTTAGGTCTTGCTCACAAGATGGCGCTCTCTCAGGGTCTCCACAGAGAGCCCTCGCTGTTCATTTCCACGGGCATGGACGTTGTTCGAGTTGAGATTCGCCGCAGGTTGTGGCATCAGATATGCCACCTCGACTATCGCTCTGCAGAAAGCAGGGGTCAAGAGCCGACTATATCAGACGATGACTTCACCACCTTCCTTCCAAGAAACATATCGGATGAAAATCTCGTTGAGGGGGGGTTCGACGGCACATCTACACAGGCTGGGTTTACCGACATGACAGTTCACTTGATCCGTCTGTATGGTCACCACTGTTTCAGACGAATCGTCCGAGGCACTTACAAACTTGAAAGGACGACTAAATCACAAGCCAAGAACCATGATGACACGAACCCAGTCGTCAAGCTTCGGTCGTTATTCGATGAAGTCAGAGGCATGGTGGATGAAATGGTCGATCACTTCCAAGCACATTATTTACAATACTGCAATCCACAGATTCCGGAGCAACGAATGGCAATTGGACTTGCAACGGTAGTTGAATGGCGGTGCTGGTCTATCTTCTGGTTGCGAACGCCAAAACAGTACCGGGAGTTTGTGATTACCCCTGAAGTCCGACAAATGTACGTTTGACCCGAAAAGGCACTGCAGCTCTCTTTAACAGGAACCAAGGCTAATTCATACTTTCAGAATGTTAGAGAAATCCGTCAACCTCATCGAAAGCCTGAACACGATGCCAGATGATAAGGACGCCCAGCGGTTTGAGTGGCATATTGGTGGCCATGCATGTTTCCAGCCTATCATGCATATTGTCTCCGAGCTTGACATGCCCGACTTCGACGTTCCCAACCGACAAGCACTACGGTCACGAGCGTTAGACGCATTGAAGAAGACTATGCACACGAGGGGTCGAGAAGTAACACCAATGTGGAACGCGATGAACCATATCATCTCAAACTGCCTCGCCAAATCTACCTCAAGACACTTGCCGGTGACGCTATTCCAGGCTGCACGGACTGACTTCTCGGTGAACGAAACGACTCAAGGACTAGGCTCTTCTGCCACTGAGTCGAGCCCAGCACTGCTGCCCCATATGCCAATTTCCCGAGAATTTGCATCATCAGCTTCATTGCCTGACTTCACAGCGCTGGGGAGCATAGAAATGCTGGAACCTGACATTATGTTTGACTGGGTACGTGAACTTGCATCTCTCTGGAAGACGCACCACCACTGACAAGATGAACTAGGGATTTTGGAACATTGACCCTGCAGCTCCTGGTCCGTATTGAATGTCAACGCAGTTCTGCCTGCCTGAAACAAAAATTGGCAACCCTGAGGAGACGTTCTGTATAATCTATAGGAGGATCCCTTAGTGAACGGATGGCTGAATTCGAGTCCCATTGATACATTAATGTGTTATTGGCCCTTCTAATAGATATTCATGACTCCATCTGTTCTTGAAGATCACGAAGTCAATGCTTATGATTGTAGACTTGTTTGCAGGATTTCGAGGCTGGGGAACTTCGGCGTACGATGCAGGAAAACTCCTATGCGAATCTGTCAGTAAAGGCCAAGTAAACTCTACAAGCAATTTACAAGAAACTTGATATCATGTTGCGTGAGACACCGTTCGAGGTCTGATATGGCCTGACTGTATACAGAAGGCGGGTTGTTATGCTGATCATTCATCAGTACTTAGCACTGGGACGGAACACTCCACGTTCTTGAGCATCTGTATGCAGGTTTTAGCTCAAATTTAAAGACAAATATATGTGTTTCGGTTCTGCCAGTCGCCTGGTAACAAATTTAATGACTTAGGAACTCTTCACCGGTATCGGCCTTGCACTGGTTCATCTGTTACTCACCATTGAATTCAGCTACCGTCACCTGAGCACATCTACAGATCATACAAAGCTGGTGACTCTCAACTTGGCCAATGAAGGTATCTAGGGAACATATCTAGATGTATGGCAGGCCTGAGTCAGTTTTCCTGGATTCAGGGGCTGGGCAATACATGAAAGCGCGCGGGTGACAGAGGATCAAGGATGGTAAAGCGATTATCGTTATGTTTTGTCCTTCATTTAGTTCATATTAGTCGTCTAGAGTTCTGAGGAGACCGCAGGGCACATCTGGTCCCTGAGGTGGTGAAAAATGTAGTGAGGAAATGCTGTAGCAGCACTTGCACGCGATCCGAAGTTTCGTCAAAGCAAAGGGAATACAATATCGGAGTCGAGCCCGAAGGTTCCCGGTGAATCTCCCTTCTCATTATTCGAATGTTGATCTGCTTGGTGGCAGGGTAGTCAACGAATGACGAACATAAAATAAGGTTTGGCATAGGGGATCGTGAAGTCATTTTGATTCTTGAAGCATCGGCTGCAGAACGACCTTCAGTGTATTTCTATCATCATGACAGCTTAGTTTCATTGCTTTCTGGCTTTGATATGCTCCTACTAGCCAAGGTTCTTTGTGAATTATCTGATATCGACTTGTATTGAAAAGTGTTTGGTGACTTTTGTTTGAGGCTCTGACCGAAAGGAAACTGTTTGAAGGCAAAAATGGTTGTTCTCAAAGCAGATTACTACAGTAACCATTCAAACCAAAAGCTGCGAGTTACAAAGGAGACTCACCGCTGACAAGGGAGTGGTCCAGCGGGTAGTCACATCTCCAAGTGGAGCTGCAGTCGTCAGGCCCACCACAGCGCGCTCAGTCTCACAATAAGAAGAGGGCCAAGGAGCAAGACTGTGCGTCTGCGTTACACAAGAGGCTCGGATCCTTTTATTTTTACCCGTAACTTTCCCTTCTTTTCCTCTTTCTTACCACACTCCTCCACAGACTCGGCAACCTGCTTCCCCTGCGACAAGAAAATCAAAGATCGAAAGCAGTCACCATGTCTAACAACCACGACAGCAGCAAGCAGCCTTCTAAAAGGGAGTCTCGCTGGGACAAGTGGGCTATGAATCTCGTCAAGTCTGACAGACTCGAGATTAAGGGTCCATCCGAGGAGCAGCTCGTTGAAGCCAATAGCTCTTCTAAGAATGCTTCCCTCACGGTTATGGGTCAACCTCTGTATGTATCAGTCTCGTCTCTTGTATTGTTTGCTTACTGACAATTGACTTTAGTCCTGGTGCCGGATCTTCCAAGGATGCTTCCATCGTTGCCATGGGCCAGCGTCTGTATGTATCTGTGTCATCTCGCTTCACTGATCATTACTGACAATCAAGCTTAGCCCTACTACCCATGTCACCGTCACCATCCGCTTCCCCCACGGCGACGTCCTCTTGCCCTGATTTGTTGTTGGCCGCCACCCCATGTTCGCTGTAATGTTTGAGGGCGGTATCCTCCAGTGGCCTGGTGCTTCTCCCCGTCAGGCTCGAATCATCACTCACTACCTAAGGGCCCCCGGCCCCAACTACAAGATGGTTTCTTGCGAGCCTTTGCCCCATGAGGAGAGATTGGAGCAGGAGTTCACCGATGCTCTAGCAATCAATGCTCAAGCAACATCTTTCAATCTTCTTGAACTTGCCGGTCTGGCTCTGGCCCACATGGAGGCGTATGGAGACATGATTTCCCTTACCAGGATCATGATCAATTTCATGGCTCAGGGCGAATGGTACCAGCGAAATCAGTGCTATGTTCAAGACTACGTGACTCGCCGTTTCACCTCCACCTACCCAATGGCTATGCATCATGACCGCAGAGGGTTCGGACACCAAACTGGCGATCCCCTGATCGACGGCCTTCTTGGTGCAATCAACGGCCTCCGCTTCCCTGACTTGCCCTTCCCTTCCTACCCCTCATCACTACTACTAAGGTCAACCCTTGAGGAGATCAGGGTCCACTGTAAAGCTGCTGGATCTGTTACTGAAACGATTTCGAATGCTAATCCCATTCAAGGTCAGAGAAAGTCATCTCGAGAAAAGCAGACTTCGCGCATGCACCTGGAATATACACCCTGATCCAGGATGGAACTATTGGCTGCTTTGTTCAGGTCAAGTCAAAGTCCAATGTTCTGGTGTATCTGCCTCCTCACAAACCATTAAGTTGCCAGAGCTGCCTTCAACGGATTTCAGCTTCATACCCGGCCCGATAGCATATATATCTTTATACCGCCGCCAAGATATAGTGACCTCTAGATCGTGAACTTCAAGGGTTACAAATCATCCTCAAAACCCAAACACAAGGTTGCCAGCTTCGAAAGTCCACCAGACTGGGAACTATGGTAATAACAAACCCGGAGTGTCCGTTCTTTGAACTACATTCCAACCATATGACAGATTTGGGAATTGTACTAATAACAAGGGTTGCTGGTAGGCTTATATGGGGTCTAATGCATGGTCTGGTTCTTGCGTCATAGCACCATAGGATAGATAGGTTACCCCAATAGACACCCTGGGATACATTTATGACTCAATGGTGTGACATTTTGATCTAGGTAGGATCCATTGTAGATAGTGACTAAAGCTGTAACTTCAAGTGACTATCATTAGATTTTGATAAATCTGATTAACTTTCAATAAAATAGATCAATGAGGCTTATAAAAAAATAACATGTTATCCCATGTACACTTCCAGGAAGCATTAGTGTTGATAGTGTCAAGAATGAGGTGATTCTCTAGTTAAGTGGACCTGAGGGCGTGTTCACCCCCCAATAACTACCCCAATAATTATGCGAGGTTTCCATGGGCAATCACCGTGAACTCTTTTAGGTATAAAGTGATTATCATTAATAATCTATCTACTAGAATACTCGTCATCTGCTTTTACTAGAAATCGTAACTCTTGCCGTGCCATAATCTTCCGGCATCCCCAACTAGATCTTCTTGCAGAGTTGAGCGCCACCCTTGAGCACTCGAGCGGTCGCCATACAGAAGCTTCCGAGAAGCATAGACGCACCCGCAAAGCACATCAACCCAGTAAACCTGTCCCCTTCCCGGTCTTTGATGGCCCCTTCGATGGGGAGCCCAGTCAGAGCGCCCAGGGCAATGGCCAGACAAAAGCCTCCCAGCTTGAACCCGATCTCATCAACCCGGTCTTCGGCAAGGGAAACAACGCATGGAGGGCCCAGACTGACGAAACCGCCGCTGGCGAACCCAAAGAGCAGGGCGAAGACGATGATGCCACCTTTAGAGGTGTGAAACTCGAGGGGAAGCCAAAAAGCCAGGACGAGAGCTCCAGAGAAACCAGTCACCATGACCATGGTGTTGAAGTGGCCGATCTTGTCACTGATCCAACCAGGCACGACTCGACCAAATAGTGAACCGGCGTTGGCGATGGCTAAGGTATACACAGCGAAGCCTTTGTATCCATGAAGTGAGGCCATCTCCGGGAGGTAGTTCAGGGGTGCGAAGAGACCCCACATGGTGAAGAAGCAGCCTAGGATGAAGAACACCCAAGGTCCTCTCTTGAATCCGTTGATTCCACCGCTGGGAACGTTCTCTTTCTCTTTCTTGGCTGGTCGCGAGACTATGCCGGGAGGTGGGAAAGGGGAAGTGCAGAGAGCATTGGCGATGACTAAGAGGATTCCTTGCAAGAGTGCAGTCCAACGAACGGCAGTCGCAAAGCCGACTTCTTCAATGAGTCTAGGGATCATGCAGGGGTATATCACGCCGCCTGGATTCATGTTAGCCAATTCCAAGGAGGATACTGCATTCTTATCTTACCTAAACTGCTCCCAGCGGAAACAATACCGACAGCCAAGCCCTTCTTTGTCGAGAACCATTGAGTGGCTGTTGCCATGGCAGGAAGAGACAGACCAGCAGCGGCCAGACCAAAGGTGACACCCTGGGTAAGCATAACTTGCCAGTACTTTGTGCAAATGCTCAGCATGCAGACGGAGAAAACAGCCATGATACTGAAGGGCAGTAGTGTCTTGCGGCAGCCATAGACGTCGATCATCTTGCCAACAGCGGGGCCGAACATGAAGAGCATGAAGATCTGAAGAGTGGTGATCCAAGCCAAGGCTGATGACGACTGGTCCTTGAACATGACTTCCGAGTAGTACAACTGAAACATGCCGCATCTAATATCAAAGATCAATGGGTTGTTTCCACGATGGAGAGAGATCGAACTCACGCGTTGACGTAACCAACGGAGCAAAACTGCAACAAGAACGAGCCAGCCACACAAGCCCAGGCTCTTGCTCCTCCATTAGGGGGGACGCGGTCATTGTTCTCGTTTGGCTTGTTGCTCTCGAGCTCTGGTGAGTCGGAGATGGTAGAGGAGTGCATCTTTCCAGAGATATCATTAATAAAGGACTTGGCGCGGTAGTAGGTAGAAGAGAAAGCTGAACCGATACTTCTGACTCGAATTGTTAGGAGAACAATTGGGATAAGGAGGAGGCAAAGAAAGAGATTCATGGTAAGAAGTCGTTGTCTTATATATTAATTTGAAGGACTTTTCGCTGAATTGAGATAAGCTTAGAAGGACCGAATTTCGTGCGAGGCTGAGGAATACGGGCAAGTGTTGCGTGTGTAAAACGGAACTGTGCTGGTATATTCCTTCTCGGTCTTCACTAAGAAATTCGTACGAACTTGACCTCGCACGAACTAAGCTCGCCCGAAGACCCCTGTTGACTAGGACAGGGTTACGGTTTGGGTGGCGCTAAGCCCACTATGGCATGGTGTCAGCCAGTAACCCCTGACATGATTTGAAAATCACTGACAACTTGAGAAACAAACTTAGCCTAATGACTGCCTAGAGCAGAACAGCCATGGCAGTACACTGAAAACTTATTGCGCCTTGTCCTCTAGTAATCTATATCAATTCTTTACACTTTCTTCTATTGTCTCAAAAATCAAAAGCCTGTCTTTTATTATCTATATTATGCCCTCGACCTCCAGATTCACTCACTTCCAAACAACATAGCAGCTGGCTCACATTTTATAGCTATATAATACCTGTTTCCAGTAGATCACCAAACATACAGAAATTTTGATAGCGATTTTCAAGACAATGAATTTTTTCCAATATCAACCGACCATATAAGCGAGGGGCGAGATTATATATGACGCACTGACACTCTTCATTCTGAGCGCATATATTAAACTTATACCTGTTTTTTCCATCATCCATATTCGACTCATTGCCACGACAATCTTTAGTCTGCTTTTACTGCAGGCGGTCAAGAGTTTCTTGTGATTTCTCCTGCTATCTCTCAAGTCGAACAATACGGTCATATAGTATGGAGATCATGGTGCTCCCCATAACCTTCTCGATTTCGGTCCTTGTTTGTGTGTCCATACTGGCGCCTTCTCGAGTTATTCTGGCGCAAGGATAATTGAGCAGCTGGCCTTCTATCTCCATACTGGCGAAAGGAGGGTTCGACAAACGCTTCACGATCTCGACGAATGGAGTTTACAATCACATGGGCCACATGATAGGGATCATCACCAGGCAACTTCGACCTCCAAAAGCCTAACCAGCTTGGCATTCTCAACTTTGGTGTGCCCAAGGGCGATGGTGACAAATTGTTGCGTTTCACCATATGCAGTGATGGAGATATGTAAGACTGGTATGAGAAAGTTCAGGAGAGGAGAGAAGTTGGTGATGCTCGTGATTACAAGATGGAAGAAATGGAACCCAGTCGGTTGAGTAGAAAGAAATAGATGAAGAAAGTAAGTGGAACAAAATATTATGGGTAAAGGGGAGTCACTGTCTGGCAAACATGACGTGGACCTCGAGCAAACGGCAAGCAAACAAACAGACTGCGGGCCAATCACGCGTTTATGATGGCGTGAAATATTTGGGACGCGAAGGAAAAGACTTTCAGTCACCAAACAGGCCAAAGTTACTTGCAAGACTTTCCTTTTGTTCGGCAGAATAAGTTGAACACTCCTCTAGACGACGCCTTAACCAGCCAGCCTTTATTCTTGTTAGAGATGCCAACGTCCGATGCCTCTGCGGATAACAATATTCTCTAATGTTCACTTTATTTCTTGTTCTTATCGCTGGTAAGTAGAGCGAGCCTGGTGCAATTCTATGTATGCGTGGCTCTCGAGAAGCCCTGCTTGGGCGTAGCAAAACCTGGCATTTGAGCCGTCTAGCCTGATCATTCACTTCCAGCGCGTCACTCCACGGGCGACCTACATTCATAGGACTGCATCATATAGTGCCATCCAAGTGACAACTAGCCACTCTCAGCGTTGTTGACACTGCATTGACAACGTACAGCTATCATCGTTGCTCTCTCAGATGACGCAGGCTCCTGCGTACAGCTGCAGCAGACACATGCAATCCAACATGATATTCTCCAAGCACCATAGCTTATGAGCCTGTCTACCTACCTTAATTGAAGAGCGCTTTTGATTGCTGGCTACGGTCTTGGGTTGACTATCCCGCGCCCCTTTTCTTTGTGGATCCAATGAACAATGGACGGAGCTTCAAGAGAATTGCAGCAACAGTCGTTACTAAATGTCTCAAATTAAAGCATTATTTTCAGTAGAAATCACGGGTGGGTTGCCTCAGGCAAACCTTTTGTGTCTTGTGGTTGCCCCTGACGGGTTGTTGACACCCAAGAAGAGGGTAGTCACGTGCAGCATTCCCAAACACTCACTTCATCTGCTCCGAATCTGTTTCTGCCTAGACTCACAAACTTATGTAATTCCGCAAGCTCTAATCAACTTAGTTCAGTAGAGATTTGAGCTGAGGCAACCATAGTCTCCCTATTATGGATGTGCAAACGTCTAGCCTTGGTGAATAAGTATGTGATGCTGGAAGTTCTCTGCCCTATTAAGTAGCTGAGACCGTAGAAATGCAAAAGTATTTTGCGATCAAGACATAATGTATCATTCTTGTGTTATTTCAATCATCAAATTAATGTGGACCGCTTGTTGTGACTGGACGTCTTTCTCCTGCATGATTTTAGGGTTGACCAGTAGGCTCCAGCCATGCACTTGACAGGTACAACGGCCTAAGCTTCCGCCTCGCAGAAATGGCAAACAAGGGTTTTAGTCGATAGGTTAGTAATTTATCGTAGGCATCGTCACCTTCAAATGCATCCCCCTCTCGCAATCGAGCAGTTACAAGTGGATTGATATGTATGATGTCCGAACTCCCTTTGTGCGTTTTAATCATGTTTTGAAAGAAGTGTCACAGCGGACCAACGTGTTGTGACTGTTACATCTTCTTGAAATGATACAGGATCTCTGTGGTCTTCTGTAAATGTAAAAGAAGAGGGAAGATCAAGGCCTTCAACCTCCACGCGGTAGCGCTGGTGCATGACTGCAAATCTGTACCCGTTGTGGCGAAACAGATCCCAGCAGTTGAAGATTGGAACCATGCACTGCCTCGCCTCCTTTGAGTCCGCATAAAGACTCTGTGAGGAATTCTCACGAACAAAACATTAGCTTGGGGAAGATATATAAGGTCATAGATGGACTGTATTCGGGGGATACTCTCAGCTAATATTACATGGGTAAGACTCCTTCCCACATCCCCTCGTGGTCAAACACTGACAACTCCGTCCCCACTTTGCCAGCCAGTCCTGTTGCAACCATCATTACATGTCCATCGTTACATCGTGTTCATCGTTACATTTCCGTTGTCCATCGTTCCAGAACTGGTCCGTCGTTAGATACCATTGCAGCTTACCAGCGGTAAACACCGGGTGGGTAGTTGGCCAGGTCGAGGTTGATGAGGCCATCGTCTCCGACGATTCTGAGCTTTCCATTGCTGTCATAGGACTCATCGTCTGTCCCAGCCTCGGTCGCAACCCCAGTCTCTTCAGCTTCGGTGTCTTCAGCCTCGGTTTCTTCAACCTCAGATTCACCTTCAGCTGCTTCATCACTCTCGACTTCGGTTGCTTCCTCGACCTCGGTTTCCTCACCGGACTCCTCACTAGACTCCTCCTCCTGGCCATCCCCGTTGATCTTGACCCAGGCGTTCTCCCGGCGGGCGATAGACTCCTTGAAGCGTTGCACATCCGCCTGACGCTCAGCCTCCACGACCTCCATGAGTCTGTCGTTGGGTTCGTAATTGCTCACAAGTCTCGCTTGGACTTCAACCCACTTAAAGTTGAGCTCGGGATACAGGGGTTCAAGGACACTGTAGGTGTAGGCCAGCATGAGGGTGGGCTCCATGTACGGAAAGAGGCTCGTCATATACTCGGTGGCCTGATCTTTCATCTTGGTAATGTCGCTGTAGACAGCCTGAGAATAGACATGGATTGCAAGATCATAAGCCTCTTCGACGTCCTGGCGGAGAGTGAACTTGTGTACGTCATGAAATGGGATTCTTCCAGTGTAGAAGAAACGCACCATGGCGTTGATGGTGTCCGCGGGAGCGAATGGAAGCGATATGATGCCCCATTTAGTGACTCTCTTGAGGAATTCAGGGCACGTGAGATGAACTGCCTCGGCGTGGACGAACTCAACCGTAGGGCCAATTTCACCTCCATCCATTGCGCCAAAGTAGATGGCAATCTTGGCGCTATGAACATCTGTTATCAGTTCTCCTTAAAGTGAGTCGATAGAAGTGTCAACTTACCCTTCGCCAATCAGTCGCTCTGCAGGTCCAGGTTCCTCCTGCATGGTGGTTGCTCCGCTTTGGAGTGAAGATAGTAATCTAAGTCAACTTTAGCACACGAAAAGAAATAAAGAATACGCAGAAGTGAAAAGGACACTCACGTTTTGTTTGTTCGGGCAGAAACGTGGAGAAGGTTGACTTGGAGCGGAAGTCGAAGAATGTTTTGAAGGTGAAGAGAGGAGAGAGGGGAAGAAGCTCGAACGCGAGAGAAATGTTTTGATATACGTGCGAGTAGTGCGATTTGACGTGTGACGAAAAAGGCTTCGGTGCCCGGGTGACCTTTTTTACAAGGCACACCACACTAACGAAACGTCATTGGCCTCCTAATCCAGACACTCATACGCTACTCTTCTGCAATTCAGTTATCTGGTCCCCTAAAACTATCCTGCATGAGCACTGAGTGCTTGGCTATAAGACCCATTTCCTCACGGGAATATGTATGTGTGCTCTCTGTTATTATCCCCCTCCATACACTCCAACATATCTTACCACCCCGTCTCCCAAACATCATCCGCAGCTCGTCGTCCCTTCAAAATGTTCTTCTTGACCCACCATTATCATCCCTTTACCTCTGTGTCGCTAGGGAACAAAACATGCCCATCCATGACTCGACTGTGCATCGTTGCCTTCGAGTGACGTTGACAAAGCTAACATCCGACAAGTGTTACACGCGCCTCACCCTTCAAATTATGCATATTGTCACTCTCTTCACCAGAGTCATAACCATGAACACCGTGTATGTATTTATACTCCAACCCCTGACTGGCCTTTCCCGTCTAATATCTCCAACTAGTACGCAGTAACTGACTACCTCAAGGCTCTGACGATCTTTTCAATGCTTAGCGCGCTTCCAGTCCTCGGATCGATCACGTTGCTTCGCCAAACACACCATCAAAGCATTGGAACTCGTCAGAGGTGATTCGACACTTGGCCCCTTGACCTTCTTTAGCGAACCATTAGCCACTGGGAGACATCTGACCTTACCAAGTCGGCAACTGGGATGTTTCAGCTTACCACAGCTCCCATTTTCCCCTTTCATAGTGCCCATTGTCCAGCTAGAAAACTCTCCGACGCTACAAGTCTTGAAGCACTTTGTCGAAGATCGCTGTGTTCCATTCCAACCAGGTATAGCTCGCAAGCTGATGGATCATACTTCATTGACTTCCTCCCACATCTTTGAGTTTCTCAAGAGCCTTTGTTTGACAAGTTGTATGTCTTTTCAACTGTGCTACCCTCGTTGATCCCACCTTGCTGACAAGAACGCTACAGACCCTTCAGCAGCACTGCCCTAACCAGCACCAAACTCGCTAGAACGCCATCTTGATTAACACGGCAACTGCAAAGAGGTTTCCCTTCCTCGCCATTGGTCATTTCAACTCTTATTGATCTCTAAGCACTCTTCTGGGGGAGCAATAGGTCTTATGGGGAGAGGAGCGCGCCCCAGGAAACGAGCTCCTTGGCGAAGCGCCGAATCGCCATGGACCGCCCCTGAGTTAGACACAGACAGTCCCTTGGACCTTGAAGATCACTAAAGCACCACCTTAACTGCTCCCAGTGGAAGAAAAGTCCGTTTCGTGGGCTTCTTTAGAACCGCGGCGGCGCTCCAGCTCTGTCTCGACACCCTCAGGGGCTGATCTAGTTCGGAACTCTTGACCGTTTGAGGCAGGGACATTCCCATGAGGCTACTGTTTTTAAACTTGCCTGTGACCTTGACAAGTCGATGACAACAGCCAATGATAGTTTTGAGGTCAAAGAAGCTCAGGGGTTGAGCGCTCTTATGCCGACATGCACTCTTGGTTATCAACGTCACTACTCCATCAGGGACCTTTTACTACTCGTCCTTGCTCTCAAAGTCGCACTTAGAGCAGTAAAATGACTTACCCGCGCGAACACCTCTCTCATTGTCGGAAGTACTTGACGGCAGCTAGTAAACAGCGGGCTCGATTTGCATTCTTCTCACGCTGGGCAGCCAGGATTCCACTAAGTTTCTATTTTTTGACCCTTCCATTTGCATTACCGCTGACCTGCGCTGTCTGAATAGCTAGTATTGGTACACTGCCCCTATGATCAAGGTCGGCGATCCCCCATGACCCTCGAAGTCCCTGCCGCAACGATGTCTTCGCAGGCTTACATAAAACCACCCTTCAAAGCTCATCTCAGATCATAGATAGGGAATTTAGTTCTTCCCAAGCTTCAGCCCCATCAGACCGAACCGCTCCGCTGATCCAAGAGAAGAATGCCATCAGAAGACCGTTCCCCCCTTAACACCAATACTCCGTTTGCGTCGTTCCAAGCCCACCACCGAGAGCCCAGCGTATCTCAAGTCCAGTTCAGTCTCAATAAACTGCTGTAGCATCACCATTCTGGTTCGAATGCAGATCGGCGGTTTGTTGCGCTCTTTTTAACGGAATCAACGCGGGCGCCCTTACCCCTGAGTCTCGAAAGCCCTGTGAACTTGTTGCCATTGGACTACGCTCACCATCTTATTGCGAAACGGGGATCTTGAGAGCATCCTCTTGTTGATCACATTCTTAGACCCAGAAAATCTGGAAGATTAGAGGATGTGTCGACAAGGCTTCTCTTAAGCACCAAGATTCGTGCCAGAGCGATAAGACTCGGGCAGGCAGACCTTGGCTTTGGCTATACTCACACAAGTTTTCTGTCAGTATTCGAAAGGTTCCCCAACAGACTCTTGACGAAGCATCACACCAGTTGCTCTATACATCATCTCAGTCAGCGATGAAGCACTCCACTACCGCTATGGCGGCGTTGGGCGAACAAGCGAATAGAGTCTCTTCTTGACTGAGAACTGAATACTTGCCAGTAGCCATGTACTTAGTGGCTTCTGATTCCACATGTATGCGAGCTTATCAATACTGAGCGGTCATAGCAAGCTATGGGAAGACTTTTCCTGAATGCCCTTTACGGTGGTGGGATGTGCACTATCAGCTGGGTGAGTATAGCGAGATTATCACTTGCCAGTCCTCTTCGAGGTGCCCTGCTTCTCCTCGGTCAAATCTGATTCATCCCTGCTTCTCTGGTTGGGGCATTTGTTCTTGGTGCATTTCTGCTCTTGAGGGGTATGAGGTTCCCTTCTGCCAGCGGCGATGTGAGACTATGAGGCGGTCTGCTGAATTCAGGAGAGGAATGATGCTAACCCCAAAGCCAAGTAGACAAACCGGTGTTGTTTCGTACGTTTTGCCTCCCCCTGCAAGGAGACCCTCACCACCATCGCCGATTGGGTTTCCCTCCTGAGTTAGACTGATATATTGTCGGCCTTTCTAAAAGCATCGACGTTTTGATCCACGTATGATGCAGAATGCAAATATCGCAAGTGAGGCATTCCTGTGTTGACGAGGGTTGTGATGTTATTGAGTGCATGTTCATATAAGAACAATGCGTGGCGAAATCACCAGATATGGAGGATGGATACCATGTACTTTGTGGCTAAACAAATGTCTTACAGTTCGCCGTTTATATATACCCCTCCTCGTTGCCTGCAAATAATGTGGGAGGATCTCTCAAGTCAAGATTGAGACTCCTTTCGCTCATATATCCCCGAGAGTACCCTGTTCACGACTCGATGCTTCGGTGATGATGCAACTTGATACACACCGTCAAGGATGGCATCGGCTATTATATATGGGTTGTTCTTGAAAACATGCATTGCGCCCCTTTCGCTTACAATGAGCACGGTGCTCTCTACCATGTTTGGGGCGAGCAGTATCAAGATGGTTTTGACCCAGTCTTCGAAGGATTGATCCTGTTCCAGTTTGTAGTCCTCGAGGGCTCGAACCAAGTTCTTGGGTCCTGGCGTGTCGACATCTTTGGAAAGGATACAGCATGCTTCAACCTCACGGTCGGGGCGCTTCTTGGGGGACAGAAGTCGATACATGGTGGGAAAGTCCTTTGCCGCGGCTGTCGTGTGCCTTCTTCCTGGGACTTGTGTCCTAAAATTCAGCTAATGCACTATAGAGTATAGAGTGGATTCGAGTGGCGTTAAGCAGATCCAATGCCCGGTGGCCAACGTTTCCCAGGGCTGGATACGAGAACGCATGTTGTATCTTGTTTGTTGTAGGGCTGCGAGGGGGCTTGAAGTAAGGGAGCGTTGAGCTTTAGGGTGGTTTCAAATTAAGTCCATGAACCAACAATGCGCTGCTTTCTTTGTCTCTTACGGCTTTTCAGGATCCCTGAGGCGAATGAGAGAGTATTGCTGAAGATAGTATCCCCACACAAGGAGAGAGGCACACAGTTTTCATCTCCAGGAAGGATTTTGGTCAAGCTGATCAAAGGTTAAGCCAGCTCTGTACATGTGCATTGATACATTGGCCGATGCAACCTTGCTTCGTGGGACTCTTGTATGCCAAAAACTTACCCTTCTTATGTATACTCGCAGGATCCCAGGGACACTTGAGGGAAACAGCGAGATGAGACCTCACCGTCCAGCAAAGTTGTTCCAGTCTTCACCATCTCCGCTGGTTCAGTTTCCCGGAATGTGCGGACGAGGCAGGCCAATATTGGACGATCTGGTTCATCTCACTTGTTCCTGTGTGGCTTGAACAGTTCAATATCAACGGGCCGGGGGTGATAAGAGTCACTGATTTGACTCTATGTTGCCATCGGCCAATATGTCAAAACACCTGTCGTGGCGTTTTGTTGCGCATGGTCGATCGAATCTGTTGTGCCTCTCGTTGAAGCCATATACAGTGGGATTATGTTGTGATAGTGGAGCATGAGAGGTTGATCCAGCCAAGTCGGCAACTAGAATAGCCATCGTCGAGGACTAGCGTCACTGTACTTTGCAGAGCTGGGTTTGATCACTCCACAAGGGTAAAGGCTGGATGCAGCATGAGCAATTCTTCTAGGACGCTCACCCAGTTGTTGTCGTCGAAGTTCAGTATGCGTGATCCGGCTAGCCAAGGTCTGAAAGCATGTTTGTGCCCAGGGTGGCAGACACAGCCGCAGGCTCAGTCTTCACCCACTTGATCTATACCAGAACATATTCATGCCCCTCCATCATCTGTATCGTCATCGTTGTCTCAATGACATCATTATACCGACTGCTAGCCCTGTGATGAAAAGCCGTGACGACAAGCCCGAGTTGTTTATTATCCTCGACTAAGAGGAGATACGCTTGGGGACACTTCGACAGCGGGACAAGAGACAAAGTGCTCCATTATAATAGAATTGTGAGCGCTTCCTTCTCACAGTCAGGTGATGCATGAGAAACTCTTCTACGATTTCCTGTAAGCATTGTCAGTTCTGAAGGCATACGTAACGAAATCAACGACCTACTGCGCCAGTACAAGGCCAGGCACCAGATTGAATGCCAATGTAATGAATATAGACTCGCACGGAAAGTTCCATTGCCTGACTGTAAACATATATGATTATATGCTCTAAAGTAATATATATAAGTCAAGAGGATGATAATAGCTCAAGGAAAGAATGAAGTGGGAGGATGGAGGTGGGAAGACATGAGATATATATACTTCAGGACGGCACCTGGAGGAACCAGTGGGAGTGTCATGTCCTTCCGAAAATTGTGTTAAATCGTTGCCAAAATGAAATCCTTGTTTCTCTTTTGCCCAATGGGAAACATATCCCGAACGACAAAGGGCTTCTTCCTTCGCCTGTTCCAATTGTTGTGTGAAGCAATACAATTGATCATTTGCTCTGCCAACACCAACATCTCAATGACATCAGCGTCAGTAGACGCAGTTTATATCACACCCACCAATCCCATGTTATCCCCAATCAAGTTTCCTGCCTGTGACGTTGCCTAAGTAAAGCTCGTGGATTAACATGAGTGACAGCGTGCCAAAAGCGTCTTCGTTTGCCAATCTCACTCAGCCAGGAAACATAACAGTTACACAAACACCAAAGCAAGAAAAACGTAAGCCCGCACACTATATCACATCTTTGCCACAAATACGTAATTTTATGGCTACACACATGGTCTGATGCAGCAACTTGAACATGCACTCGCTCTGCAACCTGTGTCACCAGCAAATGCCACAAGCATCATCAACAGACCCCAGGCCACCACTTACAAGCATTAAATCAGTCCGGCAAGGCAACACCAGCATTGTGATCAATGATGCCAAAGCATGTGGCTTCGACACAAGCCTTGTGTCTCAAGTTTTCCTTTTAAACAGTTGTTACACCTCACTTCAAATCAAGTCAAATTTCACAGCCTCGGGGTTGACTAGGTGAATTCCATCTTTTTGCAACAAATAACATGGCCCCAACAACCATGCTCCGATAAAAACATGCTCTTGTACCTTCTTCGCTTCCCTCTAACCACCCAATGAATAATCCCCCCTCATCACTTTTACGAGCCTTTAACCCCTCCCAAGTGACAATCGTGATTCCAGGACAAGGAAACGAATCGTAAATAATCACACTACTGCCACACTTGTACGGTATGTCTAAGACCGAGACAAAGCTTTCGATACATCATGATCCTTTCAACGCCCGCTTTGCTTCTGTTGTTCATCTCTAAGCGACCGACGCGATGACTAGCGCAGCCACATTCTCCTCTTCGCTTCGCACCGTGATCTTTGTCGTGACACCAGTTTTTGATGAGTAAGCCATCCGTACGTTGGCAACCACCCGACCTCCACCAACTGTCTTGCCGAGAAGCTTGAGAGTGTGGGTGGTCTGGTTGACGGGCACATCGGTGCCCTCGAGAGGCTGGAGCGACAAAGCCTTTGTAAGTTGCTCTGTAGCGTCTGTGAAATTGTTAGTGCCATCTCTTTCATGAACTCAGTATTCGACTTACCCGCAATGCTCTCCATACCACTCAATTGGAGGGTTTCTGTGACCTCCTCTCCAGAAGCGCCAACCTGCTCCCAGATGTGGCTGAAGTTGCCAGCGAATGTGGGGATCACGTAGTCACTGCCAGCAAGGTCGAACTCGGCCACCTCGTACTCATCATCGTAGCCGGAATCCTCGGGCTCGCCTGTTGAGGGGTCGATCTCCTTACTGGTGAACTTGAGGACGTTGGAGAAGGTGGAGATGGGCAGAGAAGCCTCGCCGCCAACCTTCTTAAAAGCAACATAGACCTTGCCGGGCTCATCAGTTGCAAGCTTCTCAGCTTGGATGATGAAGACCTCCTCAAGCTCCTCCTCGTCTGCGGGAGTAGCGACAACGGAAACGTTCTCAAGGATAGTGTCGGGCAAGGTGTTTTTAACCTCATATTGGAGGACAATGTGCTCCTTGAAGATGTGCTTGACCAGGCTAACAACATACTCGGTCTCAGCCTCAGTAAGCTCGATAACAGGCGAAGACTTGAGGACGCTGCCAAACTCCTTCATTTCGGGGATCTCGAGCAGCTCCTGGGCATATCGTTGAGCCTGAGCAGAAGCAGAAGCAACAGCCTCGGCTCCGGTAGGCTTGGTAGGGCCAACCTTGGGGGCCTTCAGTGTAGGGGCTGTGGCAATCAGCTTCTTGGATCGGTCCTCAGCGTCGGCTTGCTCCCGAGTAACCACAGGGATCTTGGCAATATCGAATGGACTATCGAAAGCGGACTTGTCGTCTGATGTGACGTACAAGACAAGCTGCTGCTCGAAGTAGGGAAGGGAGAACATGTTCTCTGTTCGCGCATTAGCAGTGATCCACAGTCAGTCGTTAATTCATGCTTACCATTCTTGACGAATCGAGCAGCCATCTCATCGTCCTCCTCATTCATGAGCTTGAGGTTAAGGGCAGCACGATCACGGACCTCGTCATCGACATCATCCAGGCATCGGGTGAGGAGAACACGAACACTGCTCTTAACCTCAGGGTCCTTCTGTCCAACACCGAACTTGGCGAGGGCAGTGACAGCAGCAGCTCGCACAATGGCGTTCTCAAGAACCACTCGGTTGTAAATATATCGGATATACTTGGTAGGCTGAGCGGTCTTGGGACCCTCAAGACCAATAAGGTGAAGGATTCGGACAGCCAGCTTAGTGAACTCGCAATCCTCGATAAATTCGCATAGGTGGGCGAGCGCATCCTCCTTGGAATCAGGCACGAACTTGATCAAGTCGAACATACTCTCCACAACAGCCCTCTTGAACTCGTATCCACCCTCATCACGCAGAATACCGCTGAGGAAGGTGAGCATACCAGCCTGCTTGCTGGGGAACTTGAGGCACAAGGTTCGGATAGCCTCCACAATTGTAATCTTGAACTCATCGGTAATCTCGGACATGAAGGTGGAAATCTGCTTCATTAACCTGTCGACACTGGCCTCGTTACCGGTCTTAAGGAGCGTGGTGATAGCGAATGTGGCAATGGATCGGTTGCTGTTGGAGATGAGAAGCTCGATATCGGGGTTGCAGGCGTTGACGGCGGTAGGCTTGAAACTGGCAAAGTTGTGGAGGATTCGGAGAGCGGCGAACTTGGTAACAGCGCGGGGCGAGGTGAGGAACAGTTGAAGAACGTGGACAGCTTGCGCTACCTCAGCATCGGTAACATCTCGCATGTCGCAGATAGCCTTAGCAGCTTCAAAGTTGACCATTTCGCTCTTGTGTCGCAGCCAGCCATCGAGGAGCTGCATCATGGGCTTCCTCAATGAAGCATCCTCCTCAGCGAGCTGTGCAGCAAGTCGAACCAGCATGATGATAGCAGCGGGGTTCTTGAGAGCACCAGCAGCACCGAATTGCTGAACCATCTTGACAAGGGCCATTCGGTCGTGCATGCGCATCTGATATAGAAGTCCAACAGCGTGATATTGCGACATGGTCGAGTGGTTCATGGGAACTTGGCTGCTTGAGGTGGAGAATCCAAGGGAGAAGCCACCGGAGGACTTGCTAGAGGCAGCCGCCTCTTGGGTCTCGCTCTGCCATCGTCGGACGACATCCTTAGCGATAGGAAGGAGGTGGTAAGAGGAAACGAGAGCGGCAGAGGATACGGAGGGGTTCTTGTCGACAATTGCGGTCTTCATAACTCGTTCGATCGATTGTACGGTCGTGGCCTTTACAGTGTCAGCATCCAGGGGTGTCGGTGTACCTGCAAGCAAAGCAACCTACATCGATAATACGGCAGAGGGCGCGAATGGCATTGGGTCGGTAGATGGCGTCGGTGCTGCCGCCAGTATCCTTCATAATCGTGCTGGTAACCATAATAATATCCTCAGCTGAGTTGGCGAGCTCCTTGATAACAAGGTGGACCATCTGTCGGAGACTGGCATCCTTGTTCTGGAAGAGCTTCGAGATACCGAAGAAGAGGGTTGTAGCTTCGTTGGTGGGGAACTTCTCTCCCGTGTAGAGAAGAAGAGCGATCTTGGTGAGTAGAATGCGACATCGTCGGGGCTGGATAGGGGAGCTGTTGAAGAGTCGTGCTGTTGGACTATTTAGCTTGACTGTGGGGGGGGAATAGGAATAGGGCGATTGTAGGAGACGGACCTTCTTGGAAGACTTGAGTTCGGTCAACCTTGACCAGCCCGAGGTCGGCGTCTTCGTCCTTCTTGCCGTAACTCATGTTGGGCAACTGGGTTGAGGTGAAAGGTTTGGTCGAGGGAGACTTGAGGTTGCGGTCGAGGCGCTCCTAAGGTAGAATCACCACGTCGCAGTTACGCTTCAGGGATGAGTGGTGCTGCATCACGTGATCTTATCAGCCCCTTATCGGACGGGGATTCGTGTCAACTTTGGCATTGGCTTCAGCTTCAAATGTCGACGGTAGGATTTCAATTGCTGAGTCTTCGGTCTTTTCCAGTGGTTAAGCTTTCTCTTATGTCTTTTATATTCCCATCTCTCATATAATTAGCATTTTCATATGCCATTGTCCCACTGATATGGCCACTGTCCTAAGGCAAGGTTGCTGCTGGAGAATGGAGCACAGCGGTTTCAGGTACCCGCAGTCTTTCAGATGCTCAATTAAACTTACATTGATGCTCTAAAATATCCTAATAGTTTGAATGACTACTAGAGACTGTCTAATATATTATGATTATCACATTTACATGTCAAAAAGGAGTTCCTGAGGCCCCTTTCATAGCTCTCACCTTCAGAGAGTGACATCATGTCGACCCTGAATCCACCCACTCCGAACTTCCAGCCAGACCCAATTTTCCGGGTCGCATCTTTAAATCCCCCAGCTTCATTCCCTCAACCTCAATCCACGACCCAACTCGTCGCCTAGAATGAAGTCTGTAACACGAGTGCCACTTCGCATTGCGCCTCGGCTCGTCCAGCGCCCGGCTTTTGTCCGTCCAATTCACTCGACCGTTGTCAAGGCCGCCAATGTCGCTCCGGTGGTCGGCACCGGCCCGCCACCTGAGCCGCCGATCCAACCCGCCGAAAATGTCCATCAGCGAGTCGCCAGGCGGAGGAAGCAGGCTGAGATGCTCAAGAATGCTAAGGAGCTTCGAAATGCTAGCTCTGGAAAGGGAGGCGGTGGTTTGAAGAAGCGATTCTGGAAGGATGTTTCTGTGAAGGCAGTTGACGGTTAGTCGAAATACTTTTACCCCACCATCAAACGGTGTGCTGATGAGATACAGGTGCTCTTCAAGTCTTCCTCGATACTCGACCGTTGAGACATCCTGTGACAAAGGAGATCGTTCGAATTCCCATCACCAAGCCCGATCTTGCCTCCGCTCTCGCCCTCGAATGGGATCTTTTGACTTCTGCCCAAGATGCTACAAGACATCATTTGATCCCTCTTACAAGTCTAACGTGCCGAGCTCTTGATATCGCAGCGGCTGATAATACCCCGGGGGGCGAAATTTCAGAGGTTCGAAATGCCATTGCTACAACATTATTACGATACCTCGATACCGATTCCATTCTCTGCTGGAACCCTCCCGCAGGAGAGCACGATCTCAAGAATGATGCTGGAGAGTCGCTACGAGATGTACAGAAGCGCACAGCCGAGGAGATTGTGTCCTTCCTGACAACACATGTTTGGCCAGGCATCACCATCAATCCTGTTCTTGACGGCCACTCCATCTTGCCTCAGTCACAGGCACCTGGAGTTCGCGAGATTGTTCAGGGCTGGATCACTGGTCTCGATGCTTTCGAGATTGCTGGACTTGAGCGTGCCACATTGGCTGGAAAGAGTCTCATTGCTGCTGCACGATTTGTAGTTGAGTGGACTGAGGGCTCAGTCGCAAGGGGTCATTTGAACCCTGGCAAGAAGTTTGGTGTTGAAGAAGCGGCTGTTGCCACTAGTCTTGAGGTTGACTGGCAGACCGGACAGTGGGGAGAGGTCGAGGATACCCATGATGTTAACAAGGAGGATGTGAGAAGACAGCTCGGCAGCGTTACGCTGTTGGTGTCTGGCACAGGTTTGAAGGCATAAATAAAATGAGACTGGATAGATGGCACGACTTGTAAAATATAACGACCTGTAAATTACCAGCTAGATTAAAAGGTTTTGGAATATCTTAGATTGACTTGATAAAATTTAACATATTGAGGATCACCTTTCTTCTGTTCTCGCCCTTGTGTCACTAACTTTCATCAAGTCGTGAGCTAAAGTCCTCAGTACGCCTGCTCATGGCCCCCATCTGCGCCACAAGAACGCGCTGCAACATCAAATTACAATGAGGCCGCCGATTAAGAATCGCAGCCGAATGGCTTGCGTATCATTAAGCGCAAACGTCGTTGTACATGGCTTGCTCATCATCAATGCAATTTTAAGTCATAATGTCTTACCCTACATCGGCTTCGCGAACAAGGATTCCACGCCAGGGCTAAGAGCCATCAGCCCAAATAGAGTGAAACAGACACACCAGTGCATTCGGGCAAAACTCTGATTGTCGAGTGGCAGGCTAGGATATGCTTGAGAAATGAGGTGGGAGATCACCGAACGTTACTGTAGATAAACTTCCGATCATCTAATTCTTGCAACCATAAGAGTCGGCTTCCGTGAGCTTAATTTCCACAAGCAACAGGGTCAAGCTTGATTGTGTGTCCAATCGCTTCACACGTTTGCATCCAACGTTTCACTTTATGCGACTCAGAATAAGCATGCAACATATCGTATTTCTACCAAGCCTCCCTCTCTCATTCACCAAATGCCCGTTGCTGGCGTTCTTTCAACTGTGGCACAAGGCGCAGAGCCAAGGGACGAAATCGCCACGGGCTGAGATCCCTAATCCCAATTGAGCTTCAAATACATCATCCACTGCATAAGGCCGCGCAAGCCGCCTACCCTTCTGATTTTTAAGCTGAATGCTAGCCCTCTTACTGCATCCTTCAACTGGCCAAGACACTACAGTGATTGCCGTGTTTCTTGTGATCAGGAAGAAGGCGAGTCTCATTGGGAAATGACCGAAGATCTGCTTGGTTGGGGTTAGCCTGGTTGCTGGGAAGAGAGGCGGAGTCATGATAAATGAGCCAAGCTGAATGGATCACGCCTGTAACGTGAGACATGGGGGGGGGGGGGGGGCTAGCGAGCCTCGAATTGGCACTCTGATTCAACGTTAAGAAAGGCATTATTCGACAGAGACAAATAATAGCTGTCTCTTGTTAGTTAGAAGAGACTCACTGTGCAGAACACATGCTCTGAATAGAAACAAGTTACACAACAGAAGCCAACAGAGCCACATTATGCGCAAATTAACGCCCCAAAGCCCAATTATGCAGGTCCAAAACCTCTACGTCAAGGACTTTTCAGCCGTACCGTATTACCCAACGTCTAAGCAAACGCCAAGACCCCCAGCCAAGCACATCCCGCTAATTCCGTCCCTTGAGATCCTAGCACATCCACCAACCAAGGCACAGCCCGGGGGTGAGGTAGGCAGGGAAAACGCCACTGGGGGTCCTGGAGTTGTTAGTTTAAAGACGAGGCAGCCTCTCTTCCCCTGGGGGACGTTGTCAGAAACCGTTGTAGCCTTTTGCAAACAACACCACAGAAGTCATCATGAGGTGGACCACGATAACTACAGCCGCGGCTCTGCTCGGCAGCGTTGACGCCGTTAGCTTCCCGAGATCAAAGGCCGGTAAAGGTTATCTGTCGATGCACGTTGGTACCGTTGAGCGAAACAAGAATAAGCAGCACGATAAGCGTCAAGACGGTGACGCTATCGCCGTTCGACTCGAGAACAAAGATTTCTTCTACGCGACAGACAGTATGTCACTGCAGCCTCAATACTAACTACAGTTGTTAATACTCTATAGTTGAAATCGGTACTCCTCCTCAAAAAGTCACAGTCCTTCTCGATACCGGCTCCAACGAACTCTGGGTAAACCCCGACTGCGAAGAAGCTCAATCTGCTCTTCAATACAACCAATGTCTTGACTTTGGACAATACGACCCTCGAAAGTCAAAGACACCACCCATCGGTCCTTTTGGTGGCGAGACACTCAACTATGGCGACGCGTCCGATTCATCGACGCACACATCAGCGACGATCCGATACTATACAGATCTCATGACATTTGGAGACTCAAAGTTGAGAAATCAGACTTTTGGTGTCTTGGTTGAGAGCAATGGTATCTCACAGGGTATTCTGGGTCTTGCGCCTGACCTGAGGGCTGGATTTGACGGCGATGAGCCTTATAGCTTATTGCTCACTTCCATGGCTGATCAGGGACTTATCAACAGCCGTGTGTTCGCCCTTGATCTACGACACTCTGATGATACCGAGGGTGCCCTAATCTACGGCGGTATTGATCGCAGTAAGTATATTGGCAAGCTGGAGACGCGCCCTATCATTCGCGGCGAGGGTGGTGAGTACCGTCTCGCCGTGGAGTTGGATAGCCTCGGCGTCACTATTAGCGGTGATACACAGGACATTCGTGTCTCGAGCTCTGACTCCAACGTTATGCTCGACTCTGGAACGACTCTCACCCGCATGCACATGTCGGTCGCGCGACCAATTCTGGAGGCTCTCGATGCTCAGAACGATGGTGAGGGTTTTTACATGACCGACTGTGAAAACCGCGACCTCGATGGCACGGTTGATTTTGGGTTTGGCGATAAAATCATTAAAGTTGCCTTCAGCGACTTCATTCTTGAGCTTGGACCTGGAACGTGCTACATTGGTCTTGTACCTACCAGCGACCAGCAGATTCTTGGTGACTCTGTTCTGCGAGCCGGATACTTCGTCTTCGATTGGGATAACGAGGAGGTCCATCTCGCTCAGGCTGCTGATTGTGGTGATGAGGACATCGTTGCTGTTGGTTCAGGCTCTGACGCCGTGCCCAGTGAGACTGGCAAGTGCAAGAGTTCCGACATCACAGCCACTGGACGTGTAAGTCATGATACCTCGTACTCCTGCGTGATTAAACTAACGACCTTGATAGGCGGCTACTGCTACAGGCACAGGCGGCTCGTTCCCTACATCTGCTTACACCACTACTTACACCATCACCTCATGTCCCGACTTCGAACGCGACTGTGCCACAGGCGTCGTGACGACACAGACCTTCAGCGGTCGACCAACCGTCACAGTCACTGCCGGGGCCGGTAGTGGCGGTGGTGACGATGACAATGCCGCATGGCAGCCTACACCCCTCAGCTGGGTGTTTGCTGTCATTGGCGGTTTTGCTCTCGGAGTTAACTTGCTATAGTGGGAGATATGGTTGTACATATTTTAATGACATCTCTTGGACATGACGATTATAATTAATAGACCGCATTTAGGGTATGCGTGGCATGAAGCATACGGCGGCGTTTGATCTTTGCACCATCTCACTGTGTACTCATAAATTGCGTGACTTGGAAATTGCCTCAGCTGTACTGGGCCTCATCACGTTTATGCTGTGTTCAGTAGAAAGGGAGCACAGCATGTTATGGCTTCACGATCGGGAGATACTTTCGGAGAATTTCTTCCCTCGATGTAGACCTTTCGTGCACCCATCGTGTTGGATCAACGTGCTTTGCTCGTGGTGCCGCAACAGCTGACAGCCACATCTTGCGCAACGCGGGAGGAAGACTTCGGATATCTCGGGAGACACTCTGTATCCATCAAGAAATGGTCGTGTCTGTGTAATCACAGTCGTGGTAGTCTATTGAGTCTTTTCTTGAGAAACATCGGCGCTCTGCTGTAGAATGCGGAATCGCAAAGGTCGATGAATGGCATCTCTCTTGAAGCTCTCACAAGGCTGTCGTGCATCGCCAGGGAGGTGGGAGGTTTCTGAGTCAGAGAGTTACATCGTACCCCCAATTCGCAATTCTAATGGGTGATAGCTCTTGGCGGTAAGCAGAAGACTACAAATCTAACTCTGATCGGATTAAAAGCTGAGAGAATTGTCGATTCAAGTGTGCGAAGTCGTTATGGCGAGAAGCAACAGAACCAGGGTGTTGAAGTCAATTTCATCAACACACGAAAAGCAGTACATGATAGTATGCAATCAGTAGCCAGAAATAAGTGTGTAGTTGCTCTTGATGAGTAATTTCGGTATCTAGACATCATTGTCTCTGCCCTTTTAGGCAATCTGAGTTCATCCTGACTGGTGGACGTCAGCGCGGGTAGAAATGTGCAACGGTAAGCTTACTTGAGCTTAATTTGACTTTTGCTTGGAACAGTAGCGATGTAAGTTGTTCATATAGTACAATACAGCTTCATATCTGGCCATGGAATCAGTTACAGAGCCAAAAAAAAAAATTATGGTTATACGGTACACTTTCATTGAGGGACAACGCTCCTTATCGAGACGGAAGACGTTGGACATGGCGGAGATAGGGCGGAATTCAATGCAAGCCACTTACCGAGGCATCAAGATACGGTCCACTTCCTCTACCCCAATTCCTGCAACGATTAGAAGACATACAGAAGCTACTAAGCTCAAAATACCAATACCAAGAAATACTGTCAACCTTAATTTTTTAGTCACATGCACCTCTGCTTCAGCTTTGACCCCAATGTATGATCTACGTAACCCTATGGCAACGACCCTATTTCCTCTACCTCGGCTGGCACCGAGGTCTTGAATCGTAGCTAATAGGGCCAAGATTGGTGTATTGCGGAGATAGTGGGAATCAAACGGCGCTAAATTGGGTCTTCCCCAGATTTGGAGGAGGCCCCGAAGCGACAAGGAGAAGAGAGAAGCAGGGAACCAACTACGTAGTACATATTCAGCTCCTCATCTTTTTTTTCCCTTTCCTTTCCTCTATTCTCCCCATTCTCTCCTCTTCCCTCTAATCTCTGAATACCCTCCCTCTAATCCCTATTCAAGATGGTCTTCTATCCTCCTCCCTCGGTTAGCCTGCCCTTCGGTAAACTCACCCTGTCGTCAGTTTCAGCTCCTCTACTCACATTCCTTAGAACCTCCCGAGTCAATCACCGTCCCCGACTTCATCTTCAGCGATAAGCACGCTCGCAAACCTATTGCTCAGTCCAGAAATCCCTTCACATGTGGTATCTCTGGTAAGACGTATACCACAGAAGAGGTCATCCAGCGTGAGAAACTTCTCGCGCGTGCTCTTGCAAAGCGTCTTGGCTATGATGTCCACGATGGAACAGAGTGGGATAGAGTAGTTGCGCTATTCTCAGTCAACACTGTACGTTTGAGCTCAGTCACACAAAACCCAACTAACGTATAAGATCGACTACATTACCATGACCCATGCTGTTCATCGTTTGAACGGAATCGTCACACCCGCCAGTGCCGCATATTCTGCCCCAGAACTCGAGCACCAGCTCCGCTCATCCGGCGCAAACGCCCTTTTCACTTGTGTTCCTCTCCTTGAGACTGCTCTCACTGCCGCGAAGGCTGTCGGTATCCCTGAGGATCGTGTCTTTCTTCTACCCGTGCCCGGCTTCGAGTCCAAGCCACCTTTCAAGTCAATTGATGATTTGATTGCAGAGGGCAAGGATGCGCCTGAACTTCAGCCTCTGAATTGGATCAAAGGCCAAGGCTTGAGGCAAGTTGCGTATCTATGCTACTCCAGTGGAACATCAGGTCTTCCCGTAAGTCCCCACCAGATTTTGATGAAATGAGTACGCGGCTCACAAACTGTAGAAAGCGGTTGAAATCACTCATGTCAATGTGATCGCAAACGTTATGCAAATGACAGTCCAAAACGAGGAGGGTCGAAAAGCAGCGGGAGTCGACACTCAGGTTCAGCTTGGTCTCTTACCACTCAGTCACATTTACGGCCTCGTCCCAGTCGCTCATTGGGGTAATGTCATCTCACTCCGTTCCCATGTCTCACTGAACTAACTTGTATCGAGGCATCTACAATGGCGATGAGACAGTCATTCTGCCCAAGTTCGAGCTTAAGATGTTTCTTGCTACTGTCCAACGCTATAAGATCGAACAAATGGCTCTCGTCCCTCCCATCATGGTCCAAATGCTGAGTCACAAGGCTGAATGCCAAAAGTACGACCTCAGCTCTGTCCGCTTCATCTTCAGCGGTGCTGCTCCCCTTGGAAAGGAGACAATCTATGGCTTGAATGAAATCTGGCCCAAGTGGAATATCTGCCAAGGCTACGGTACGTCCCCTTCAATCACGCGTCGTGTCTCGTCACTAACTTTGTAGGTCTCACTGAAACGTCACCCGTGGTCTCATCAACCACCGAACTCGATATCGATCCTGGCTCCTCGGGATCGCTTCTTCCTGGCATCAAGGCTAAGGTCATCGATGCTGAAGGCAAAGAGGTTACGGAATACAACACCCCCGGTGAACTCTACGTCCAAGGCCCCAGTGTTGTTCTGGGATATCTCAACAATGCAAAGGCCACAGCTGAGACCTTTGTAAACCACAGCGATGGACGCTGGATGCGAACAGGTGATGAGGTTATTGTTCGCAAGTCACCCAAGGGCATCGAACACCTTGTCATCGTGGACCGAATCAAGGAACTTATTAAAGTCAAGGTAAATTTCACTATCTCAACATCTTTGCTCGCCTACTTACATACTCCACTAGGGCCACCAAGTCGCACCAGCTGAGCTCGAAGCTCATCTTCTCACCCATCCTCTCGTCGACGACTGTGCCGTTATTCAAGTCCCTGATGACCGAGCTGGCGAAGTCCCCAAGGCCTTCGTCGTCAAAGCACCCGAGGCCAAGGGCATGTCCGACGAGGAGGTCACAAAAAGCATCAACAAGCACGTCGAAGAGCACAAGGCGCGACACAAGTGGCTCAAGGGCGGCATCGAGTTCATCGAAATTATTCCCAAGAGTCCTAGTGGCAAGATCCTTCGACGTCTGTTGAGAGACAAGGAGAAGCAGGCCCGCAAGGAGAAGGGCGCCAAGCTGTAATGATATGGTGCATAGAGAGTGTAAGAAAGAGAGGAAAATTTATGCGCTTCCTACAAGGAAGTAGAGCGATTAATGACTATTAGGTCACTTAACAAACTTATCATATATCTTTGATCTTATGGCAAGCCTATGATATTAAATCCCGGCTTCATGGTATCAGGGCCATGCCAACCATAAGAAGAAAAGCACGATGGTCAGTGAATACAATCGAGAATCCAGAACGAGTAGGATCGTCGCCAAAGGGAGTTGAACTCTTAATGAACGAGACGCTCTCCAATTGACGATTGATTGCTCAATGTGCTCTTGGGAACCATAAAACCCATCTTACATGCTCTTATCCTGTACATCGGACTGACGGGATCGCCAAGTAAAGGAACTCCTTGAAGAGACTATAGATCAAGATTAATGCAGTTTCCAGAATCATTCATGATATCACATTGATGCAAGTCCGAGTATTCATTAAAGCACTGAGACAACTGCTTTGTATTGAATGAAGTCTAGCTGAGATGTCTTTAAAGCGAATGGAACTTTTGTATTATATCGATTCATTAATCTTTACCCGGAGACTCATAAGATCCCCTGCCCCGTTTTCATGAGATACTTTCGTGAGCCTGTCTCATAGATTTCTTAGAAGACCATGCCCTTGGCCTGCTTGCTTTGAGCATCCTTCTCCTTGATGTCAATGTTTCTCCACATGAAGAGGCAGATGACGCAAAGAGGGATGAACGCGCAACCAGCGTAGATCATCTTTTTCTGCACATAGTCATAAGCAGCAATAATAGCGTCTCGCTCAGGGCTACCAGCAGGGTAAGACAGCTGAACATTGATGTCACCATAGATGGTAGCAGTCATGTTCTTGGCAGACTCGGGAAGCTGCTTGGCAAGCTCGGTGGGGAGCATGTTTGTCCAGATGCCACCAGCAATAGCCACACCGATGGAGGAGCCGATACCACCGAACATACCCCAGATAGCCAGAGCGACGGCGACATCTTGATGCTTGACTGAAGACATGACTGCGATACGTGCAGTCAAGGACCAGATACCACTGTAGATACCGTTGAAAAGCTGACACATGACGAGCCAGTTGACGGCAGTTTCAGGATGACGGAAGTGGATGAGAAGGGCGGTACCGAGAACCAAGAAGGGCACACCGACGAAAGAAGGCCACTTGAAGCGCCCCAAGTATCGAATGGCGATACCAACGAAGGGTCCAACGAAAGCAGCCATTAGGGAGAACGAGTTGAGGATGTAACCAGAAGTAGTGACACTCTCAAAGTGAACAACCTGCAGGTAAGAGCCGTAATAGGTATCCCAGCAGAAGATAGAGGCAAACATAATACCATAGATGAGACAGGCCCCCAGAATGGTGCGATCGGCAAGTAGGTGAAAGGGAAAGTAAGGCACAGGGGCGAAAAACTTCTCCCAGACGACAAAGCTGGCAATGAGAACAACACCAAGGATTGGCATGGCAATGATATAACCAGTGGCCCATCCGTTGGGAGCAGTAGCAGCGATGCTGAAAGGGAGTAGGAGTAGAGCCCAACCGGCACTGGTCAGGAAAAGACCAATAACTAGAATAATGTTAAAGACTAAGCGTTCAAAGCGGACAAAGATTAAACTCACCATCGAACTGCACAAAGTAATACTTGAAAGACTCCCAAATAGTGCGGTTGTGTACCTTTTCGGGGGCAAGACCAAACTTCTTGGCCTTCATCTCATTCATAATGAAGATGACCATGACGGGAATGCAGAACGCCAACAGGATGATGCAGAACGAGCCAAAGGCCCATCGGAAGTTGACGTTCTTCAAGAAGAGCTCAGCAATCTTGGGACCGGCGAAAGTGGAACTGATGGTAGGCGTGTAGTTGATACCCATGATGATCAATCGGTTGCGGAGAGTCGTGGTGTCAGCGACGACAACGTCAATGACATAGATGAGACCGAGATGGCCAACCCAGTAGAATGTATGCGCAGCAGCATACATCTCGACGCTGTTACATGTAGCCTTCATGATCATACCGACAACAATCAGGAGTACCATGGCGCCGAAGCCCCAGACTCGACCCCAAATGTCAATGATCTTGGCAAGAGTCAAGTTCCAGACGGCACCCAGAATCGAGGCTACGATACCAGTTGAAGCGAGAAGACCGTGTGAAGCGAAGGCCGAAGTGACATATGGAATGAGGTTGCTCTGCACATTCTGGAGCAGACTATCGACGAAGGAGACGAGGAACAAACTGGGGAATACAGGGTCAGTATAGTCATGGCAAGGTAAGCTGACCACTTACAAGACAAATGTGGCAATCAACATCTTCTTGGTCCAGACGCTGGTGATGGCCTCGGCTTTCTTGACACCCTGCTGCTTGAACTCATCATCGGAGAAGTCCTTGAGATCCTCATCGACCATGATGTTGTTGTTGGCGGGAGCCTTCTCGATGTCTGGAACAGACACATCGTTAACGGGCTCAGGCCCGTTCATGGTATGAGTCGCCATTGGAACGAAGTGTAGCAGAATCGTTCCAAAGGGAAGAGGTGCTCAATTCGGCTCAATGGATCGAGAGAAGAAAGAGGAGAAGTAAGCTTGACGATTGCTCAATCTATAAGGGGACCACAAGGTCGCATTGAAGGGGGGAGAGCACCCATTAAGTACCTTGCCCTACCAGGCCAAGATCGTAGCTCATTGCAACTCTGGCTGTATGAGAAGCTCTCACTAGAGCGAGAATTGAGAACGGGATAGGCGATGATCATCCATGGCTAGATTTCATAGAATGAATCCTTCGGAAGGCTAAAACGGTAACTGGTCTCCGATGGGTGAGCTTCCTAAGCCCACCTATAACTGGCCGCGGTACGTTTGCCATGAGCCAGGTAAGGATTAAGCTCATTGCGACCCTGGGCAATCAACGGCAGAAAGCCCCTGTTCGAGACGAGCCCTCTCGCTGCAGAGACTTCCCTGGTTCTGGGCTGGCGAGAAAAAGACGCACTAACACCGATCATCCACGCTCTACTTGCTTGGCCCTACGAGTCTAACCCTTGGGAATAGCACCGTAGATGTGCCAAATGGAGACCTTGCAGTATCAAGAGCACCATCTATTGGATGAAGCTTATTTCCAGAAGCTATCCGCACATCGACCGGGGTGAGTTGGCCGAGAGTGGCGTCGCTCCAACTGCTTGGTAGGGTATGGCGCCGTTTGGTGTTGACCCCCAAGAACACCAACGCAAGTTTTTCAGCGCTAGTCGCATATCTGATCATCTGATAATCTGATAAGCAGCATCAGCACCGAAGATCGCACCTCTTGGCCCTTCACTTTCCAGCGTGCGGCGTAGCATCGGCACGTCGATTTCATCCGTCCTTCTCCGAGTATAAGCATGTGAAGGAAAGTTCATTGACATTTTTGCCTCAGAAAAGGGCGAGAGTTCTTCCAGGGTTCCCTTGCATGTCGCTTGTCATATATTGCGAGACAGATTAGATCGATCGTAAAGCCAACAACCAACAGCGCGTTTATAGCGTTTGAAGAATCGCAGCACTGCATAACAAGTCGTGGGGCCGTACAAGATTATTTCCCGGCAAGTGGGCGCTGGTCGATAGTGAGAAAAGCCAGACTCCGATTTGGCCCTGATGAGTTTTCGGATCATTTCTAACCAGGAAGGGCAACAGAGGCGCTTTTTTGGCGTAAATAAGGTCGTGAGTCTTGGTCTTGGCATCAGGCAATCGGAGAGAAATAGGCAAGCCACTAAAACGGGATTCCGAAGCATAATTTTTGGCCTTGGGCTGGGTCTCGAGGCTCTGCGGGACTGGTGCTCTCTTGTTTGTGCTTATCAATCTGAACGTGATATAACACTGCGAGATCGAGACTTGCCCCAGTGGCCTGGAGCTCCACAGGCCAAAGCACGTCTAACTGATCTCGGATTCACTGATAGAGCTGTTGACGATATGGTCAAAAGGAAGTCGATTGCCAAAGTGGCCCAAAGATTGAGACTTGAGGCAAATTCCTTTCCTTACTGGGGCCTTTGGTGTTCGGTTCAACGTCTTGGCAAGTCACTCGTCCAGTCTGGAAATAAGCCTTCCATCCAGAACTTGTAATGCGGCTCGGAGCCAATGATGCTGGGTTGAACCCACTGTGGATGTCAAGCATCGAACTGACTGCTGCCTGGCCAATATGTTCGTTTCTCTTAACCTGCTTTGTCGTGTTCATGTGGGGGTCCGGTGATTGATGGGCCGATTCTGCAGGATCCCATCTGAGGAATGGTTGTGTTCGATGTTCCAGACAATATGAATGAATGCATCCTAGACCTGTTTAGCATCGCAAGAACCGACCGTCCGGGTGACATTTTCCATAAGGTGGGCCAAAGAAGTCCTTGTCGTAAAGTTAGAGACTCTTGGCGCCGGGGAGCAGTAAATAGTCTCCCAATAACATCTCGATATATCCGAACTACTGTAGTCTTTTCTGTAAGCAGCAAAGAGCCTTGTCTTTCCTGGGACCAAGAAATTGGTGCAAAGAGGTCGAGATGCACGGTCGATCTAAAGTTTGACAAGGGAATGGAGTCTTTCGAACCTCCCGATTTGATCCGCCAAAGCGTTCCTCTCGTTGCCGAGCATGGAAATGCACTTTGGAAAGAAACAATAACTCAGAGAGCATCACATCCCAATGATAGCACTCTACGAGGTGAACTGATGTCTAGATTCATCGATATCGAGGGCTGGGTTGTGTTGCATCGCCGATCTGATGTTTGCCACCAACTGTAACTGATTGATTCGATAAGATTAGATTGTCTTGAAATGCTTAGATTGCCATCATGTCTTGGCACTGGACCCTGGTGGCGCTGCGAATCCTTCGACATCGTTAATCCTTAATTTTTGTGTGCACATGATCGGAGAAGCTACCGTTCGACTTGCGACATTTGGAATAGACATCAATCCTAGGAACCGAAAGACTGAGAGGAACGCGTGGCCACGCCAGGGTAGGTGAGAAAACTCGAGGTCAGTGTTGTAAGCGACAGACATTCTTGGGCAACTGTGGGATGGACTTGAGCAGTCTTACTTTGGACTCAGAAAGCTTTGATCGGATTTAAGTATGCTGCAAGAAGGCCCTGAGCTCTATTGCTCTCGGATGCCAAGGTAGAGCTGACAACATCCGTACATTAAGTGCCAACCGTGCCAATATCGCAAGTTTCTATCATCAACTTCGAGGAGCTTGGGACTTTTAGCAAGGATACTCGGGTCTTCATGAGCGGATTCCAATGTGCTACTGCTTACACTCGGCACCGAAATGCTACCGAGCCGAGCGTCTTGATTTCCATTGTCTGGGCGATCGGTGGTCTGCCGAGGGTGGCAAGTTGATCGCTGTCAAGCCTATAGAAGGAAAGATTACAGTTTTCTCCAACGACCACAAGACATATACAAATGGAACGGGACATGGGAGTGGAAGTTCGATATCATAATGTCATCGAGTGGCCACTGTTGAGAGAGCGCCCAGAAGAATGTGATTGAGAAGGTGGTGTCCCCAAGTCTGTCTGTGCAGGTGCTAGGTCGGTTCTCGCATGGCAGACGAGACCTAAGCATGGCGTTTCCCACAACATATAGAAGCAGGAAAAGACAGCCCTTACATTTCTCTTCAGAAACGCAATTGTGCTACAAACTGCCAGTCGATAGAAGTATAGTCGCCTAAGGCCAGTGCTAAGTTACAAGTCATTTCAGAGTCACCGAATGTACGAGATGCTCACAGCTTCACAAGAGACAAATAACTACTTCACGCGGAAAACAGACATAGGCGAGCATTGGGAATTGATTCAAACAAAAAATAAGTCAATATTAACATTAAACAACCAGCCAGCGGGTATATATGCTTCTGTGCATCTCGGCTCAACTGGTAACTTCCCTTGCTCTTTTTCTTTTCTACTTCATTTTTTTCTTCGACCTCCAGACTTGATGTCACATGAGGATCCGGTCAGTACCAAGTTTCCACACTAATGCATAGTTCGTAAGGATCGTAAGAATGATACATGTTTGATGAGCGCGCTGTCTAACTTCCCTGGAAGCTCAAGCGGTCTCGGGGTGCGGGCGTACATAGCATACATACAGGTCCCGCCTCAGGTACCAAGACCTAATCTATAAACAACAAGGAAAACAGAGATGATGTGCGAAGCGCATCATGACCCTTACAGGGCAATGGCAACAGCCAGGATGGCGGCGGCGATGCCCATGCCGTTGCGAGCGGCACCAGCAGTCACGGGAACGCCAGTAGCGGTGGGAGCGGGGAGACCACCGGTGCCGACAGCGGGCTTGCCAGTGATGAGAGTCTCACCAGCGCCGGGAGCCTCGTAGCCGGGAGCAGGGGCCTCAGTACCGGCGGCGGGGGCGGTAGCAGGGGCAGTCTGAGCAGGGATGGGACCGTTGCCAGCAGGGCCGGAGGTGAAGCCAACCTCGGGAACAACGATCTCAGTCTCAATGGTCTTGACGGTGGAGGAACCCTCAACAGTGGTGCCGCTGGCGACAACGGGCTCAGTGATGGTGGTAGCGACGACGACGGTGGTGTAGTGAGCAGAGGTGATGATGGTGGTACCAGTGACAGTGATGTGCTCAGTGACGGAGTCGGCACCGGTGGCAATACCGGGGTTCTTCTCGACGTAAGGAGCGCAGATACCCTGGAAGAAGGAGACGGCCTGGGCGACAGTGTCGTCGTTCTCAGCGTGGGCGTACAGGCACTCGAAGACGTTGTCAACGAAGTCCTTGGAGGGGCAGTAGCAGGCAGCGTCGGTGTTGTCCTTGCAGTCGGCGACGTAGTCAAGGAAGGTGTTCAAGCAGCTGGGGACAACATCGGGAACGTCGTAACCATCCTCAGGAGCCTTAGGGGTCTCGGGCTTCTCGTCGGAGCCAGTCTTCTCGGGCTTGGGAGCCTTGTGAGTGATGGTCTCGGTGACGGGGCAGATGGTAGTGGAAACGGCAACAGTCTCGGTGACAACAGCAGGAGTGCCGGCGGTGACAGGGCAGTTGGTGACCTCAGGACCACAAGAAGTGATGGTCTTGACCTCAGTAGAGTAGATAGTGGAGGTGCTGTCGTAGCTGGTGACAATGGTGGTGTGCTCCTCAGGGACATCAGTGGTAGCGTTGGGGGAAGAACCCTCGGTGGTCTTGGCGGGCTTGTCACCAGTGGGCTTGTCGCCGGTAGGCTTCTCACCAGCAGGCTGAGTATAACCAGGCTTGTCACCACCCTCAGTAGGCTTGGTCTGGCCGGGCTTGTCGCCGGTAAGAGTCTCAGTCACAGGGCAGATAGTGGTGGAGATGGCGACAGTCTCAGTGACAACAGCGGGAGTGCCGGCGGTGACAGGGCAGTTGGTAACCTCAGGGCCGCAAGAGGTGATAGTCTTGACCTCAGTGGTGTAGACGGTGGAGGTGCTGTCATAGACGGTGGTGATGACGGAGGTGTTCTCGCCAGCAGGGACAGTCTCGGTGTTGTCGCCAGAAGGAGCAGAGGTAGTCTCAGAGCCAGAAGATCCGGAGGTGGTCTTGCCGCCAGCAGGGACAGT